TTCGCAGAAGTAGGAGAAAGGGGGAAATTAAACCTTGTTTTCCCGTTTGTATTTTGACCCAATTTGGATCCACTTTTCTCGTAGGCCATACGGAAGCTTGTAAATGATGGGGTTAACTCCTCGAGCAGTGTCCAGGTAACTGAGGCCCGGTAGTTTAGGGTCAGTTTTGGCAAGCTGGACTTCGAGAAGAAGGTCACTGAGTCTCTGGAACTCTTTATTGTCCTTACCGGATATCGTTGGGAAATGTTCCAATTGTTCAAGCAATGCATTCTCTATGGCTTCAGGACTACCATAACTCTGTTCTAGACGTTCCCATGCAGCGGTGAGACCTGCAGTTGGATTGTCGATGTAGACTGACCTGAGGCTCTTGACACGTTCTGTAGATTGTGGGCCAAGCCACCTGATCAGCAGATCCAGCTACTCAGCAGCAGTAATACCAAGATCACCTATAGTAGTTATGAAACTTCTGTAATTTTCAGGATGGTCATCGAGGCTTACTAGGCCTGACTTGGTGAGCTCTCATCAAAGTATATACTTTACGAACTCTGCTGTATCAGTTGCCTCTGACTTTACTTAGGAGGTCGCTGGTTGAATGTTGCGGGTTGCGTTGTTTATCGTATTGTTGTAAAAGGACATGGGAAGATATGGTGCAGCAAAGGTGTTAAAGTCTGGAATGGTACTATTAGCAGGAGGTTGGTGACTTGCTTGCAGATTGGTGTGCCATTCTGTGACATATGCAGAATCAGCATGACAGTCGGGCGATGCACTGGGGTGGTTTTGCGTGTAGGAAGTTGCTGGAACAGCTTTTGCCTGGTGGTGTGGTGAAGTCCTTGCGTTGTCGTGAAGAATGGAGGCAATTGAGTGCTCGCTGCTGTGGTTTAGAACATAGTTCTTAGTGCGTTCGAAAGGATCTTCCATATCTGCCTTGATGTTGACCCTTTCACTAGCATTTTCCTCTGCACCGATAGCTTGTTCAATAAAGCCTGTACTTTGCTAGCCTCTGCTTCGGCACGGGCATTTATAAGTTGTTCACTAAGCGTTGAGTGCCTTGAACTTCGGGACCTAGAAGAACTTTTAGAATGTCTGGTGGATACGGATCTGTGAGATACCGTGTCCTGTGGCTGCGTTAATTTTGCTTCTGCCTTTGCTTTAGTTAGCAGGATAAAGCTTTCTCTTTCCACGTTAAGAAGCTGGACATTGTTAAGTTGCTCTAATGATTCCTCAGTGTTAATGTTTTGCAGAATAGTTTTATATTTATTGCTTGCAGTCTGGTACAGTTCATATGAAGCAGAGAGATGCTTTATGGCGCCATCTAGTTGCAGTACCTCATGGCTGGGACATGAAATCACATCAATGTGGGTGAGGATTTTATCCCAAATCTGCTTCAGACTGGTTGAGTTCTCATGGATTCATAGTTCTCTTTAACCTTCCAAGTGGGTTTTACAGAGCGTTTAGCTAATGCACTAGGCTCTGGGTTCTCATCCTGGCTTTCTCCATGTGGTGCATGCTGTGGTGTTTCATCACATACTGAGCCTTTTCCACTCATGATGGCCTGAGGTACACAGGCTTGGCTATAGCAGTGAAGAGTGTCTGTATACTGTGTGGGGCTGTAACAAGCTTGCTGTGGTTGCATGCAGACTTTACCTACAATTCACACAGTTACACTTCGCTATGATCTGTCCTGTGACACAGCAATGTCTGAACAAGCTGCTGGATATGTTCTTTTACTATTCTGGACCGGCTGCAGAGGCTATGAATGTGTTTTTCAGGAGCACATGGCGCTCATTGCCCTGATGAGATTATCCATACCAAATCACCTTCCCAGATTGTTTACTCAGTCACAACTCACATGAAAGAAGATCTGGCGATGTTTACTCGTCATATGTTCTCTAGAATGTGCAGTTACAACAGGTAAAAGAACGATTCTTCCATACAGGTTAGGAGAGATACAAGTCGCATATGAATGTACAGCATAGAAAACACTAGAACAGCAAAGGGGGAGGGGAGTACCTGAAGCAGCATGCAAACTATGGAGTGGCCCAAGAGACAAACTTAAGATAAACATTAAAGAAGCAGTACATTATAATAAAACAATATCATGTAACATGACAGTGAGTATGTATGTGTGTGTCTGTCAGTGAGTATGTGTGTGTGTCTGTCAGTGAGTATGTGTGTATGTCTGTCAGTGAGTATGTGTGTGTCTGTCAGTATGTGTGTGTCTGTCAGTGAGTGTGTGTGTCTGTCAGTAAGTATGTGTGTGTCTGTCAGTGAGTGTGTGTGTCTGTCAGTGAGTATGTGTGTGTGTCTCTCAGTAAGTGTGTATGTGTGTGTGTCAGCGAGTATGTGTGTGTGTATATCTGTATGTGTCTGACTGTGTGTCTGTCAGTGAGTGTGTGTGTGTCTGTCAGTGAGTGTGTGTGTGTCAGTGTGTCTGTGAGTGTGTGTGTGTCAGCGGGAGGATCAGGTTTGGCACAGGGTGGTAGAGGGGGGGTGCTATGGTTTAGTGGGGGGGCTGGGATTTATTAGAGGGGGTTGCTGTGGTTTAGTAGAGGGGGATGCTGGGGTTTTTTTTATACTGTACTTTTTAAAATTAACCTACGTTTCAATGAAAATGTACGATATTTTTTTTTTTTGCGGCCCACATAAGCTTAAACCTTGTTTAACTGTGCAGTGTTTCCTAACATCAAACAGAATAACCCACTTTGTAACTCAAACACCCATTTTTAGCTGAATAACGTTGTGTTAGTTTACACAATACACAATCATTTATATGCCTAATTTACTGTAACATAACCAGGCTGAACTATCCAATTGCAAATGCTTATAAGAGATTCTCAGGGCCAAACCGTGGTTATGGGGAGCTCTCCAGGTATGAGGAGAGAAACTACAGAAAAACAAATAGGCAATATATAAATACTACTGTACAAACTATGCAGGCATACAAAGTAAGGAGTCATGAATAGTAGTCTTTGGACCATTGCTGGAACGTCGTTCCCAGGGGTCAATATCAAGCATACTGGAGGCCTACAAATATGCTTGGTTTCCCCTTAACCTAGCGGGGGGAGGTGGCACATTTTGGACAAAGAGGTGAGCTGACTTACATGTAGCTCATATGAGCCAGATATCACTGACTCGGAGTCAGAGTAAATAGAGATGTTTTCTGCAGTAAGGCAGGGAGACCTGAGATAATATAACAAAACTCAATGAAACCAAAGAAATAATGGTAAATAGAGCTGTCCATTGATCCACGAGTCATATCAGTCAGGTTCCCATTGGGGCTGGTACCGGTCCCCTAGGAACAAAGGGCATCACACGAGTTGGGTCCCAGGCTCTAGATACATGAGACGCGGTCTTTTCCACAGTCAGCACAGGTATACCCAGCCCTTGCAGGAATCGCAGGCATCAGCACCAGACGTGAGCATAGTTCCCTGTAGAGTCGCATACAGAGACCTCGGGGACCCACATCATTTCAGCCCTCAGCCCCAAGGATTGACTTAATGCCCTGGAGGAATCATTAGATGTCCTGCGTGGTGGCTAATTCAACACCTTTCTGGTGTAAGAAGGAGGTAGTTTGCGCTTTTGCGGACTGCAGGGATGGGTCAAGTTATTCTACAGGGCTGCACAAAATAGAGGCTCCAGGGCCGTCCATTGCCACCATCTTGGGCTGTGGTGGTCTTTGCAGAAGTGTTCCAATATTCCTAGTTTGGGTTGTTTTGCTGCCCGGTTGTCTGAGTGCCTCTGAGTCTGGCAGTATAAATTGGGCCGACTCAGTCGTCTGGCTGAGGTCCGATGCGGTCACTTGGCCTAGGAGGGAATCTAGGCTGGTGAGAAGTGGGTCACAGGCCTGCACTTAAGTTTTTTAGCCCTCGGGGCTTGAAAGAAGGGCATCCACCTGTGCAGGGAGATACCACGAGTCAGTATTGGTAAGTCTCCCCTTGGGATGGACAGCTAAATTGGTGATTCTTAACAGGAAAGCCATAGATTGTCAGGAACTGTGTGAAAATGTATTCCCTCTCGTTCAGTAGAAAGTTCCACCCCCTTGCTTGCCTAGTTTTTAAACAGTTTTGGGGATTTCATGCCATAGGCATGTTAAAAATCTAAGAAAGTCATCTGCCTGATTGCCCAGCTGGTCGCTGTATGGAGAACCTCTATTTCCATGATAGAAGGGGAGCACTCTAAGCAAATGATGCAGGCCCTTGCTCCACAATTGTGCTTCCCTTATGATTCACGTTTCAGCAGGAAGATAGTCCCATCACTATAGTGTAAAGCTGTAGGTCAGTGAGTGTACTTCACCACAGATTTATGGAGTGGTTCTAGTGGCAGACATGCCTTCCTTTCTTTGAAGGCACACTGATGTCAAGCTAGGAGAAATTCTGTAGTGTAGCAGGGCTTTCGAACTCTCCTACTACATGCTGAAGTGATGGAGAAAAAGCACTCTTCAGCAAACATTTTGCATGCAATCAGGCATCAGGGAAATTGGTTCAACGCTCTTAGAAATGGATCCTTTGTAGGTGTGCACAGTTCTGCACACATCCTTCATCTTGTAACAAGGGCTACAATTCAGGAAGCCAACACAAAGTTTCAAACCATCCTTTGCACAAAGATAATGAAGTATGCGGTTTTGTAGCTTTTCTGTGTATAAACTGATTACTGAACATTATTTACCAAACCATCTAAAACAAAAACAAAATAAAATATTAAAAAACTTTATCAGTGGGAAAAGCAGCATAATGTTTTCCAAGAAACCAATTCATTTTTTTTTTTTTTTTTATAATTTCAATGTGAATGTTTTGTTCAGAAATAATCAACAATGGCTGTTGATTATAGATGTAGCTAAGAATTTGTTTATTTTCATCTTCAGGCTTGCACATCTCTGTCTCTGATGCCTTAAAAGGATGCTGGCATTGAGATTTTATGGTTCTTATCTGCATTGAGATATTAATTATATTAATAGCTCAACTGGCAGAAGAATGGCCTTCTTGCTAATTACTGGGGGGATTGTTTGAGTAATCCAGGAACTCAAAACTCTAGAGCAGTTGTCTCAGTATCCTCATTCACTTCTTGGAGAACAGAGGCTACACACATTAACTGCAGGTGAGACCTTGGATTGTCAGTCGATTAAGCTGTTTATTGAAAAGTTTAATGCTATTATATGAAATATAATATTGATTTATTTAATACTGGCACTCTAAATGAGAAATTTTCGAAAACATTTTAAAAGATTTTTTTTAAAAAAGCAAAGTCTATATACTTCATTCAAAGGATTTTTACAAGCAACTAATGATGTCAAAATGGAAGGTAGTTTAAAAAATACGTTATTGTTGGACTGTTTTTTATACTGAAATACTGAGAATACAATTATTAATGATCTGTTTTGTGCCATTGTCATTATTTCATAGAATCTGTTACTCTGATTCGTCCTGTGATAGCTTTATGTTTATCCTGAAGGGAATGTTTAATGTTGAAATTTGGATAAAGAATGGAGGATAACTAAATGTAACAGGATTTATGAATCTTCTGCTTCCTTTGCTAACATCTCTCTGACCAGAATAAGGAAAGTGATCAAATGGTAGAATGTAAAATTGTTAATCAAAGTAGTGAAAGTGGGATGGAAACTATATATCTCAATTTACATTCCAATCCTACATACTTGTCATGTTAAGAGAATACTGCATACTTTGTTTAAATCGAGTTCATAGAATTTGATTAAAAAAACACAAGAACGTTAACTCTGGAGTGGAGAGAAAGCATGCATGTCTATTAAACCTGAGTGCTGTGCTTTCTGGGAAAAAAAGGGTTTTATTCCAGATTCACAGTCTAGATGACCAGGGCCTCTAATATTACAATATCACGTCTTTATGGCCACTGGTGGTCAATTGTATCTTTGTATTAAGATTCACATATTAATTTGTAACTGTTTGCCTTTTTACTGGCTATCTTGCTCCAAGAAGAGAGTACAATAAATCCAGGCATGGTTATTCTCTAAAATTTTAAAGTGAATTGAAATTGGATTGCTTTTTAATTTAGATTAGTATGTATGTGGGCAGGGTGGATTCTGAGTCTCAATGGTTAGACATTAATTTATGTGTTTTTCCCTGGTGTTGTCATAATGACTTCTCTCATACTTTGCTATTCTACATATCCCCTTGCAGAACAGGCCGCTTATGAAGTCTGCTCTATCTATATAGGTGTGAGTGGCTGTTACATCCTGAAATACAATGTAGCACCTCATGTTAAACCCTCTCTTAAAGCAGAAACGTTGATTTAAAAATGCCCACATTATTTGGAAATCCATAAATAAAACTCAACTATGAAGTGTGTGACAGAAAGTTAACACCCAGAACGGTGCTACTTCAGAAACATGCTTTGTAGTCATGTAAAACAAATACGGATATGATTTACTACTGGAAAAGATGGGTAGGATTATACTAAACATAGCTTGAGTCAAATGGGACTGCATGTGAAGGATAATTATAGTTCATGCATATAACACAGCTATAAACACTATCACCTTTGCCCTCATTTGCGGGATTTAATTGGATGCGAGTATGCGTTATTTTCTGTGAATTTATTTCAGACATTGCAAATTGCTCAGCAATAAACAACTGCGATTTTGAATCACAAAATCATTAAACTAGAGCCACCATTCTCAACAGAGCAGAGAAAACATTACTATTTCATGGTTAAACGTTGTTGGTCATTTTTAGTAATAGTTTTGAATCTATTTGCCCTGAAAAAATTTTACAGTCAATTTAGCCACATATCTAAACCGACTCATATAATCTCTTGTCTGCAATAGTTATACAATAATTTATACCAAATTTAAATTATTATTTAAGAAAGGTGTAGTTTAAGAGGCACATTTTAATTAATTATAGACAACTTCTGTCACCATTCGCTGGATCTCTGACATGACTATTATAGAAGTATTAAGTTTTAAAAGCATAAAAATATATTTTAAAATTCTTAATTTTTGGTATTCAGACACTTAAACCTGCCTGAGAAATCTGTAAAGGATAAAGTCTGCACTTTGTGTAAATAAGAAAACACACAATAAATACAAGCAAGTAGTACGATATTAGCAAAAGCAATACTGAAAAATCACTCACACCTTACAAATTTGAGGGTACAACCCTGATAATTAACTCATGTTCCACAGCCATATCATGAGCAAGTATTAAAAGGATAAAGCCGGAATAATATACTGCAAAGTATATATATACCTATACCTAATAGTATATTTTCTCTCTCTCTCTATACAGACATATGCAAATACAATATAACTCCTCCGAAAGAGCAAGATTATAAGTGATTAAACAAAACAGGGGAAAAAAAAAGAAGAAAAAAACGTAATGCAAACAGTAGATGTACAATGAAAACAATACATTTGACTTCAGTCCCTGTCTTCAAGTAGGATTTTTCCAATATAAATTAGGAGTTTGTGGAACATGTTGTTTATCTGTCAGCTTTTGCTGAAAGCTGTACAGCTTGCAACAGACAGATGCGGGAAAGTTCATTTATATATATATATATAAAAAAAAAAGTGATGTGTAACTAGTGCAAAGTATTATTGTATCTTATGCAAGCCTAATGCTGGAAAAAGATGGAACACATATATACAGCTATACAGATAGAGATATACACAAAATTCAACTTCTTAGATCTGTTTATTTGAATTAATAAATTAATGAAGGAATTACATTACAAAGTGCATTGTGGGAAGATCGTGCCACTAAAGGGTTCTTCAGAGTGGTTTATAAATCTCTCCTGAACCCTGATAATGTATTATTTTTGCTCAATACAGGCTTCACCACTATGTGTCTGTGTTAGGACTGAATTTAGAGTTAAAGGACCACTATAGGCACCCAGACCATTTCAGCTTAATGAAGTGGCCTGGGTGCCAGGTCCAGCTAGGTTTAACCCTTTTTTTTTATAAACATAGCCGTTTCAGAGGAACGGCTATGTTTATATTAGGGTTAATCCAGTCTCTAGTGGCTGTCTCATTGACAGCCGCTAGAGGCACTTCCGCGCTTCTCACTGTGATTTTCAGCATTGTGAATGCTTTCCTATGGACTGGCTGAATGCGTGCGCCGCTCTTGCAGCGCATGCGCATTCAGCCGGTGATGGAAGAAGAGGGAGGAGAGGAGGAGGAGAGCTCCCTGCCCGGCGCTGGAGAAAGAGGTAAGTTTAACCCCTTCCTCTCCATCCAGACCGGCGGGAGGGGGTCCCTGAGGGTGGGGGCACCCTCAGGGCACTATAGTGCCATGAAAACGAGTATGTTTTCCTGGCACTATAGTGGTCCTTTAAGGTCAGATTTGAAGTTAGAGCTAGAGTTAGAGTGTTAGGGTAGCGTGGGAGTTAAGGAATATAAGTAGAGCAATGTTAAGGTAGTGTAGGGGTTAAGCCATACATCGTCAGCCTCAGAATCAGGATGCCGATGGGAGGGAAGTAAATGGGGGCAGGTCAGAGATGCCCAAATAGAGGCGGACCTGCACTGAAAGGGGCGGACAAGCCTGGAATGGGGGTGTATCTGGCCACATTAATGACAAGTCAACCTGCTGTTAATACACAATAGGCTGCATGCCAATCATTTTAGCTGGCCCACTCAGGGTGTACCCTACAGGGACCATTGTTTCAGTATTCCCTGCTGGGTCCTTGATGTCAGGATTACTAGTAGATCCAGCACGCAGAATTATATCACAACTTGGACTAAAGGTAATGTCTTTCCGGGCCTTAGAATGGCCGGACTTAACGTACTGGAGAATAGTCAGAATACTTGCTGAGGTCAGGCACACAGAAGGAAACACAACGATGAGGTAAAGCCAAAAGTCAAGGATACCAAAATTCAGGCAAGTCAAAACAAAGCCAAAGTAAAAAAACAGAAAAAGAAAATGCTCAGGAACACCCTCTTGGATCACCAACTAAGGAAAACCACGACAGGGCACTGACAGAAAAGGTCGTTTGGATTTAAATACCCCTCCTTTGGCTGTAATTGGCTGCCTCAGCCCTCTGACCCCAAAATGTGCATGCGCGTCTATGATGTGACGTCGCACGCATGTCCGTGCCATCTATGGTGTGGGTGAAGGTAAGATTATAAAAATTTGATCTGCAGTGGTCGGTGCTCCTAAGATCGTCGCACCCCCTGGGGACCGGACCGGAGGGAGGTCGGGCAGTAATCTGCCGTGAATAAGGAGAGTAAAATTTGTCTCTGTCGGCGTGGTTGCTTACTTTATGTGCAACCACGCTGGCAGAATCCCGAGAAGCCGTGACACTTGTGTCCTGATTATAACCTGAGTGTGTTTTATGATGTGTTTGCGCTGTGATAGCTGGGGACAGTTTCCAGGTGTCTCCAAAAGCAGAAAAAGGAGGGACGAGACCCAAAAATTGGAACTGTCCTGCCAAAATCTGGATTATTGGGAGGTATGGGTTAGGGGTAGTATAAGTGTTACAGTAGTGTCACAATGCTGATTGAGATTAGTGGGAATTATAGTCCCAGGCAAAATAGTGGGTATTTTTTATATAATTGTTGTATATATATAATTTGCTATATACTAGTTAGTTGTATGTAGAAAGATACATTCTAACATAGACAGGTGTGAAGGAAGTAAAGTGAGGATTTGTGCTGCTTAGCTTATTTATCTTAAATCTTTAAGTAGTATTGAACAAATATCTATCTGTGGCTTAAAAGGCAACACAGACACTTGTAGAAAATGTCACTGTGACTAATCATTGACAGGTGACAACGCAGAGAATGCGGCACTATGTAACCTGCTTAGTGACTCTCTCATGCTGTTATCTATCTACACCATTATTAGACTTATTTTCTAAAATGAGAATTCAAAGTGAATTAAAAGTGAATTTCAAATTTAAGGACAAAATAACTTAATTGGAGAAATGATCTATATCAGATGTACTTCCAGTTTGACAAGTTACCTTAAATATGAAATTCACGTTGAGTTCTCACTTTAGTAAATAAACCTGTTTGTATTGGAGCTGTTGTGTCTGTTTTCTCTCACATTAAATGATATGTAAGGCATATAATATAATTTTCTAAAATAAAATGTACACGGTACTCTTGGTAAAAAAGTTATGGTTGACCTACATCTTAGAATAAACAACCAACTGTAGTTAACACTGCATGTATGTGCCTTTATTCAGTTACTATAACAAGATGAATTGGCAACAGTTTCGACTCTCATGGGCATTCACCAGGCTTGGAACTGTTTCTGGGTCGTTTGTTTTGGTTACAAATTTTACAGCAAAAAGGGAAGAGTGGAAAACAAGCTGGCTATGAGATTTTCAAAGTCGGCTCTCTTTACTTGTATCCGGGAACTTGGTTTTTAACTTAACACATTTTCTGTTTACTGAATAAATAGGTTTGAAAGATAATGGCAATAGAATTACAGTGTGATGTGAGGCAAACTGGAATGATTTTAACATAATAATAATTATGATAATGTTATATAAAAGTGCTAGAAAGTCGGTGAAGAAAATAAAAAAATGTGAAAAAGGTTTTCACCCACCTCTATACAAATAACTGTCTAAAAAGACTCACAAATATATAACATCTTTCAGGCAGCTTCACACCTTTGTGTTGGACCCTCACACCAAACACATAAAATGAAACATACAAAAAAAATATCGATACAGGGCTCTACGTGTACTGATATATATTTTTTTGGAAGGATTTTAAGGTTGGAAGTGGATTGTGATGATATACAGGGAGACAGAGATAAAGTGTATAAGCAGAATTCATTAACAGATAACAAGTGGCTAAAGCTCCAAGTTTCCATTTAGATTGATATAAAATGTATATTGATTATGAAAATGGTGAAAGGTCTATTCACTAAACACCAAATTTTATTTTCCAAATTCAGTTGATTTAATTCAGCTCAATTCTCCTGCATTCGGTTGTTACAATTCCACTGTGGTTCACTGTATTCACTAACAACCGAACGCTAACTGAATTGAGTCAAATGGATTCCTGTGTTAAAGGGGTTTGGGATAGTAGTAGAGTTACACTATTAAGGACAGTTAAAGGACCACTAAGGGGTCCCCACCACCCTCAGGATCCCACTTCCACTGGGTTGAAGGGGGCTGAAGGGGTTAAACACTTACCTTTCTCCAGCCGTATTCTAATGGATAAGGGGAGTCAGCTGATTCTAACAATCGTACAGATTTACCTTTTGTAAATAGCTAATTGTGCAAAAATAGGCGAATTGTAACAACTAAACAGCATTTAGCTCCTTTTTGGATGCTATTTGCCATTTAGTGAATAGACCCCATATTGTATCAATAACACATACTGTATAAAGGTGACATAATAAATCTAATGTAAGTTCAACTCACACTTTTTTGAACCCATAAAGAAACCAATTCACATTTTCAAACGTGTAGTTAAAGGGAACAGCTTAATGTAGTTGTAATATAGTATAATAGCTACCTTTAGGCATTTTCATGCATACACTGCCTTTATAGAGAAAAGGCAATGTTTACATTGGCCCTAGACACACCTCCAAGTGGCCACTGCTTAGATGGCCACTGGAGTGGCTTCCTGGCTCAGGGCTGCAAAGTAGACAGCCCTGCCGTTCAGCGTCCCCCTCTCTGCATGGAGACGCTGAATTTTCCTCATAGAGACTGTAAGCTCGTTTGAGCAGGGTACTCTTCAACCTATTGTTCCTGTAAGTTTTCTTGTAATTGTCCTATTTATAGTTAAATCCCCCCTCTCATAATATTGTAAAGCGCTATGGAATCTGTTGGCGCTATATAAATGGCGATAATAATTATAATAATAATAGAGATGCATTGATTTAATGCGTCTCTATGAGGAGGTCCTGATTGGGCAAAATGGCATTTGGCCCCGCCCCGTGCCGATTTTAGCCAATCCAATGGTTTCCCTTTAAACACGGCCATTTTGATGATGTCACACAGAAGGCGGGGCCAGTGCCGGCACTGGAAATAAGGTGAGTTTTAAACCTTTATAGGGGGAGCTAAGGGGTGACAAGCCACCTAAATGGTGTATTAAACACTATGGGGTCAGGAATACATGGTTGTGTTCCTGACCCTATAGCAGTGATGGCGAACCTATGGCACGCGTGCCACAGGTGGCACGCCGGGCCCTTTCTGTGGGCACGCGGCCACAGGTTTGCCATCAATGCAGAGTAGGCGCCTGCCTGCCCGAAACGGCAGGCGCCCACTCTGCTTCCGGGTCGGGAGGCAGGAGGAGGGCTCCAGGAAGCAGCTCCCCTGTCCTCCCGCGCGATGCTGTGTGGAGCGTTGCCGCGCGTTATCATGGCAACGCTCCACACAGCATTGCACGGGAGGACAGGGGAGCTGCTTCCTGGAGCCCTCCCCCTGCAGTGCTTACCACCACCGGACCACCAGGGATCATTAAAGGTAAGAAGGAGAGGGGGGGGGTACTCACAGCAGTACCCCTAACCCCCCAGCAGTAACCCCTACCCTCCCCAGCAGTAACCCCTACCCTCCCCAGCAGTAACCCCTAACCCCCCATCCACAGTACCCCTACCCTCCCCAGCAGTAACCCCTAACCCCCCATCCACAGTACCCCTACCCTCCCCAGCAGTAACCCCTAACCCCCAGCAGTAACCCCTAACCCCCATCCACAGTTCCCCTACCCTCCCCAGCAGTAACCCCTACCTCCCAGCAGTAACCCCTACCCCCCCATACACAGTACCCCTACCCCCAGCAGACCCTAACCCCCAGCAGTACCCCCCCCCCAGCAGTAACCCCTACCCTCCCAGCAGTAACCCCTACCCCCCACACAGTACCCCTACCCCCACAGCAGTACCCCCACACACAGTACCCAGTACCCCAACCCCCCCACACACAGTACCCCTACCCCCACACACAGTACCCTACCCCCACACACAGTACCCCTACACACAGTAGCCCTACCCCCCACACACACAGTACCCCTACCCTCCCAGCAGTACCCCTACCCCCCTGCAGCACCCTTACACATATAGCACACACACACACACACGGCACCCCTCACATACAACACTCACACACACACGCACCCCCCACCTCAATGCAGTATGTGTGTATTCAGCAGTGTGTGTGTGTGTGCGAGTGTATTCAGCAGACTGTGTGTATGTATTCAGCAGTCTGTGTGTGTATGTATTGCATTTGTTGGAGATACTAATAAATATAAGCTTAGTTTTATCTATTTATATCATTATTTAAAATTTGTATCATTGAACTCTCTGTGTTCTTTTAAAACAAAAGTTATTAGTTCGGACAACAGTACGAGTTGTTTTTTTCTAAACTTAAACCTCAGTATTTGGGTTTAATTGCCGTGTTGGCACTTTAAGGAGAAAAAATGTTGGCATGTATTGCGGTTTGGGCACTCGGGCTCAAAAAGGTTCGCCATCACTGCCCTATAGTGATCCTTTAACTTACAGCAGATGGAACTCATCCTTCTTGTTAGTTATGTCTCCATCTTTAAGATAACAGCAAGTAATATATGAGAAAGATGAAAGAAACATATATAAGGTACCATGCTAAGGTAGGCAGGATATAGGTATATAGCAATAGAATTTCCACTCATGTTTTTAGAACTAGCTTTTTGCTTTCTTTTTGGTTAGTTAGAATAGTTTTTCCAGTATTTTTCATGGATGATATTCGGACAAACAAAACCATCAAGTGAATGAGTGTTGTAAGGCACTCCTTGAACTTTTTGTAGCATTACTGAATGTATCCCATAAACAATGCTTTATGGGTATAGCAAGGTTTCATGGAGGTGCAGATCCCCCAATGCTCAGACCGTTTTTGGGCTTGTGTAACATGGTAACTATTTTGTACCTTGGTGACCCACATTTGGGGACACCAGGGGACTGTCCCAGCAAGCACAACATGGGCACATAATTAGAAGAGCTTTTGCTGTGATGAGGGCACGAGGACCATGCAAAAAATGCTATAGCAGCGCTGTTTGCACAATCTACCTTGAGGCTGACATGTCACTTCTGTGGGTGGTCTTGTCCCCTGTGGGACTGCCCATTTTGGGCATCACCAATGACATATTACGTCACCCCTTGGTCTGCTTTTATACCACCCAAAGTTGGGGGTATGTACTAGATAAGGCATAGGCAACCTTCCACACTCCATATGTTTTGGACTACACCTCCCATGATCCTTCGCCTACCCCTGTAGTAGATGAACAATATATGCTGTAGTTGCTGCAAAGGTGAGCAGATGAATGACATGTGAAAAACGGTTCTCCTGCTCTTGCCTCTCCGCCTCTCGGTCAGTTCATGGAAAAGCAGGGAGTCTTTACTGAACTAAGCAGGACCTATACAGGACCACACTAATAAAGCACTCAGGTGAGGAGAATTCAGAAGCAAAGCTATAGCAAGGAACACCCAGCAGAGCCCAGGCATATTCTAACACTGGGAGGGTGCCAGGACTGTCCTGGCACCATAGCCACTAAACCACACTGTAGTGGCTATGGTACATCAAGTGTTTTATAATCTAAGTGGATGAGTGAATTTTAAGATATTAAATTTATGCGAAGTGACAGTCACCCTTATATGTTTTACATAAATAGATTACCTGTTTCTTTAAATATAAACACACGTAGACCAATTCTTATGCCTAGAGGTTGTAGGGTGTTCTTTATTGTCACCAAAATGATTTGGCTGATACCTATTCTTGGAAGCCTTGCATTACTCTTAAATCCCTAAGTCCGTGGCTCCGTGCATTTGGATGATGCTAGTGAGCATTCTGTATTCTATTCGGCATTCTTCCCCCACCATGATGATGGAGCGCCTGTTGTAATAGTTTAGGGGAAGGGAGACAGGGAGAAAAAAAATCCCAACAAAGACATTGTATCTGAAATAAAAAGTCACAAACTCCGAAATAAGTAAAGTGTTGAATGCCATCTGCAGGGAACCTAAAACAGTAAAAGAGTGTTTGCGCCTTTGTGTCCTTATATGGTAAAATGATATGTAGGGGGTTCAATGAGCTGCGAAGGCAGACTGTTTGCACACAATGTGGGATGCAGAGCTGAGATCAGACACCGTGCACACTGCTGCTTGCTCCCTGGTGACTGTGCTCCAGCTGTGCCGTCTGTTACTGCATGTGTTACTACTCCCTGCTCTGCCTGATCCGCACACTCACTGGCTGATCTACAACTACCCCCTCCAGGTATACTATGCTCTGATACCTTTCCATCTGTGCTGTGGGCTATATATATTGTGGGTTCATCCTTTGGTGTAAAAGAGCTACACAAAGAGAAGAGGGTGTGAGATGGTCTGTTACAGCATGAGAGGCAAGCAGCCAGCCAGCATCCATGCGTTGATGGCTAACTAACCTGGGCACTCAAAGGACTAGTGAACTACATTCCCCAAGATGCTCAGCTTGCTTGCAAACTGGCTGAGCATCATGGTAAATGTAGTTCATCGGCCAGCTTAGCCATAACTGATTTAGTGCTTCTGACATGTGCAGTGTATGAGGTGGGTTTTCTTTGTCCTTTAGATGGAATTGGTAGCTATTGTTTTATTCTGCACACATGCAATATTTTATTATCACATGGTTTGCGAGGAATTTGTGTTAATTGCTGAGGGAATGTGTGTAACAGGAAGGCGGTCACTCTGCAATTAGTTACCTTAATGTTAACCTGTTCAGTGCTAGATGGATCAATGGATCAGAATAAAAAACAAAAATGACTAAATAACCTGCAAAATTAATCGGAAAATTTTTTTGTTTTGTTTTTTCTTTTTTTAATCTTAGATTATTTGTAGTGGAGCTTCACAGCTCATATTGTATTATGTAAAAAGTATTATTCATTATTGTGATGTGATCTATCCTATCTCTCTGTCAATCATCATCTACACACATAACTACACACATACTCACATTTATATGTTATTATCTAAATATTAATAATACCTAACGCACTGTGATATGTCTCTCTATCCTCCCATCCAAACACTCCAATCATCCATCCTCACACACAGGCTATTATATATATTACATGATACATCCTGCCATATGCCCATCTTGCCATATGTTACATGGACACCATGCATAGTTCAATAATGTAATATAAACAATACAAAAGATGGAAATGATATCACATAATTGATGTAAAAAGTACCATTTTGGGGCTCTGGAAAAATCATAAATAACTATTGGATTTGTTCACAAAACACCAGACTACAGCAACTTGCAAATTTAGGTACAGTAGCCACATTATGAATTTAAAATAAGTTTTGCATACATTTTGCAATTTATTCTCACTTTACTACAATTCAGTGTTTGGAGAATAAACATAGTATTTATGTTTTCTTTTCTTTCCGAACCCATATTATAATATTATTAACAACTAATATGTGTTTCAACCTTTTTTTATCATTTGTATTACATTGTTGGAACTTGTTATCCATGTTGTCTATAAAACATTGGGCTGGGTGTGTAGGATAGGATGTATAGTAACAGACATTTAAATATTATTATTATTATTATTATTATTAGTACTACTATTATTATTATTATACATACATACATACACACACAATACACACACACACATTACATTTGAGTTATGAATAGCTTTATTATTCTATTATCGAGATACAAAAAAAGTATTGCACAATATAGTAACTTTCCATTGATTCTATTAACAGCGACAAGGCAGATGCTCCAAAGAATCTAATTAAGCAAGACTTGGGATCATTTTATGACTATATACATATATATACAGTGTCCTCCACTAGTATTGGCACCCTTGGTAAAATTGAGCAAAGAAGGCTGTGAAAATTTGTCTTTCTTTTTTAACCTTTTGATCTTTTGTTAAAAAAAAAACACACAAAAACGCTCTGCTTTCATGAATATCAAACACAAACACAGGTTTATCCCCCCAAAATAAATTGTTAAATATATGTGGGTACAAATATTGGCAGTCCTATGAATTCATATGAAAACAATATATTTGAAGTATTAATATTTTAGTTTTTTTTAGTACACCTAGGTGACTAGGTACAGGAAATTGTTCAACCATGACTTCCTTGTTCATAGGGGTAAATTATGAGGTAATACATAGGCCTTAGTCATTCCTCACGATGGGTAAGACCAAGTAATTTAGTTGTGATATGCAGCAAAAGGTTGTTAATCGTCACAAAATGGGAAGGGTCTATAAGAAAATATCAAAAGCATGGAAAATGTCCATTTCCACCATCAAGGCAATAATTGAGAAGTTCCAGTCAACTGGAAATGTTATAAATCCACTGGGGTCAGAAAGTCTCCAAAACTACAATCTGACATCACCTACATCTCCACATGTTGTTTGGAAGCGTCTCAAGGAAAAAAACGTTTACTCTCATTCAAAACAAACTTAACCATCTGAAGTTTTCCAGACACTAAGTGGGATTGGCCAAAATAGAGATATTTGACAATAAACACCAGAGGTGGGTTTGGTGCACACAGAGAGGTAGCCATATGGAAAAAGTACCTCATGCCAACAGTTACATTTGGTTTGAGGGCTGTTTTTTTGTCAGAGGACCTGGACATTGTGTTAGGGTGCATGGCATCGTGCACTCTACCAAATATCAACACATATTAAAGGAATACTTGATTGCCACTGCCAGAAAACGTGAGATGGGCCAGGGTTGGCTCTTCAAGCAGCACAGACATCCAAAACCAGCACAACAAATAACCAAAATCAACACAAAAATAGTTTACTGACCACAAAATCAAGGTTCTCCCATGGCCATTCCGGTCCCTGACTTGATCCCCATAGAAAACCTGTGGATGAACTGAAGAGGAGTGTCAACCTGCATTGACTTTGAAATTTAAGGGATCTGGAGAACTTCTGTATGAAGGAGTGGTCTCAGATCCTTGCCATGTATTCTCCAACCTCATCAGACATTATAGAAGAAGACTCAGAGCTTTTATCTTGGCAAATGGAGGTAGCACAAAGTATTGACTAAAAGGGTACCTATATAAAATTTAACAATTTGATTTTGAATAAACATTTGTTGTGTTTGTTGTGCAATTGTTTGGTATATAAGAAAGCAAAGTAATTTTGTGTATTTCTTTGAAGAAAAGATCAAAAAGTTTAACAATATAGACATTTTCACTACCTTCTTTCTCACATTTAGCAAGATTGCCCATATTAGTGGAAGGTGCTAATTCTAAATACCTAAAGTGGGGGCACCTTCTTGGTACATAAATGGTAGCCTTTATAATACTATATGATTCTGTATGTGGCACTGTAGTGAATTTTATTATTTACTTAAATATATTCACCTGAACAACTTTAGCTTAATGAAGCAGTTTTGGTGTATAGAACATGCCCCTGCAGCCTCAATGCTCAATTCTCTGCCATTTAGGAGCTAAATCCCTTTGTTTATGAACCCTAGTCACACCTCCCTGCATGTGACTTAAACAGCCTTCCATAAACACTTCCTGTAAAGAGAGCCCTATTTAGGATTTCTTCATTACAAGTTCTGTTTAATTAAGATTTTCTTATCCCCTGCTATGTTAATAGCTAGCTAGACCTTGCAAGAGCCTCCTGTATGTGATTAAAGATCAATTTAGAGATTGAGATACAATTATTTAAGGTAAATTACATCTGTTTGAAAGTGAAACCAGTTTTTGTTTTTCATGCAGGCTCTGTCAGTCATAGCCAGGGGAGGTGTGGCTAGGGCTGCATAAACAGAAACAAAGTGATTTAACTCCTAAATGACAGTGAATTGAGCAGTGAAATTGCAGGGGAATGATCTATACACTAAAACTGCTTTATTTAGCTAAAGTAATTTAGGTGACTATAGTGTTCCTTTAAAGCCCGCTGTAGTGTTTATGATGACAGGTGTACACTGGCTTAGTTCCCAGGTACTGGGGCAAACTGTTTAGCAATACTTTGCCCTCTTACCTGTGTTCTTGCTTGGCTCCGAGGATCCTGTAATGTGCCTCTGGCCTCTGCAGAGCTGCAAAAACCAGAAGCGACTCCAGTTACCATTTATTGACTGAGAGCATTAGCTGTTCACTCTCAGCCAACTCAGCACACTGTGCAAGAAATGAGCACAGAATTGGTATTATCTAGTCTGGAACTCTTGTACAGGGCTGGCTAATGATGTTCCTATGATGCTTCTGGAGGTGGAGTTACAACTAAGGCAGCTAAGGGGTTAAACTGTATTACAGCAAAATGCTGCGTGAGTGACTCCAGGCACCATGACAACTTCAAATCACTGAATTGGTCATTATGCTTGGAGTAACTCTTTAACTAAGTGGGGAGTCTTTTATTCATTTTTATCCATAACTCCATTAATATTTAGCTTGATGCATTTATAGAATACCAATACATGAGTTAGGCATTTTATTTGCTTTTTGTTACCACATGTATTTTAGTATATTTTCGAATTCTTCAAACTATATATTAAAATCTGTAAACCACTTAGGGGCCATTATTTCTCTCATCTCCCTCCACTCCAAGCATACAGCTAAATGGAGGGGGATGGACTAATTATTATAACCACAAATAACCCCTGCTGTCATGTAGGCTAACGTCCACTATCCTCAATCACTTCAGAAACTAATAAAAGGCTCCATCTGTCTGTTCTACATTTAAAAGGAAAACTCTAATATAAAAAAAATAATAATATAGAAATGAATATATATTTTTTTAATTGCACAGTGTTCCTTTTCTTACTTTAGGTTTAGGTCGCCCTCTTAATTTAAAAAAAAAAAGAATGTTTTCAAAAAAGCAATGGAATTGGTACCGGGACAATCTAATTTCAGCATTCTAGTATGAAGTCAGTCGTAATGGTCTCTGTCCAATCAAATGCTTCTGATAGTGAAGCACTGAGGACACATGGTGGATGCATGGCTATTGCCACATTCTATCTATTCAGTGCTTGTAATAGAAAATCACAGAATCCAACACATTTCTTTGGGAAGAATTAGCGGTGTTTAGCATCGTCATGCTGCACATGATGACACCAGATGTGAAGAACTTTGAATCATGTATCATATACCATCCACTGTAACGTGCACACTGTACCATTTATCGTCCACTGTTCTGTGTACAAAGGTATACCTTATATTATTCATTTTTGACAGTTTGCTTGTAATTTCTTATGTTGTACACTGCTGTGGTCCTTTATAAATAGAACCAGTAATTAGAGCAGATGAAAAAAATGGTAAAACTACTTTTGCAATAGCTGTCATGTCATATAAGACATGAGCTAACGCAATGCAGACATTAACATCCTGTGTTTTTCTATGCAAAGAAATTACAAAGCATGCATTGTGCAGCCATACCTTAGTCTGTGGAATGCAGGGTGGTCATGTGACCACACACCGTAAAGATGGTAAGCCTACCATAGTTACCCTCTATGCACCATCCGAGAAAAAGTTAATGTAATGTTTTTGTAACGTGTCTTTTATTAATTAAAAGCCACAATAGGACCTACTAAAATTTGTAACCATTAGTCACACGGCACATGTACATTTACTACCATTCCATTCTCCTGAAATTACTGTGCAGAACTCTGAAAAATATAAAGACTCATGGAAACGCTACATAGAACTCTGAACTATAATAAACGGTCATGGAAATGCTGAGTAAAACTGATGACTGAGTACAAAGAAGAAAATACTGCATATAACTCTAAAATATAATGAAGATTGATGAAAATACTACATAGAACTCTGAAATATTATAAAATTTCCTGGAAATGCTGCATTAAAGTCTGAAATATAGTAAAACTTCTTGGAAATGCTGCATAGAACTCTGAAATATAGTAAAACATGCTGGAAATGCTGCATAGAACTCTGAAATATAATACAACTTCCTGGAAATGCTGCATAGAACTCTGAAATATAGTAAAACTTCCTGGAAACGCTGCACAGAACTCTGAAATATAGTAAAACGTCCTGAAAATAGCATAAAACTCTGAACTGTAGCAAAACTTCCTGGAAATGCTGCATAGAACTCTGAAATATAGTAAAACTTCCCTGAAATGCTGCATAGAACTTTGAAATATAGTAAAACTTCTTGGAAAGGCTGCACAGAACTCTGAAATATAGTAAAACTTCTTGGAAATGCTACATAGAACTCTGAAATATAGTAAAACATCTTGGAAATGCTGCATAGAACTCTGAACTATAGTAAAACTTCTTGGAAAGGCTGCATAGAACTCTGAAATATAGTAAAACCTTCTAGAAATGCTGCATAGAACTCTGAAATATAGTAAAACATGCTGGAAATGCAGCATAGAACTCTGAAATATGGTAAAACGTCTTGGAAATGCTGCATAGAACTCTGAACTATAGTAAAACTTCTTGGAAAGGCTGCAGAGAACTCTGAAATATAGTAAAACCTTCTAGAAATGCTGCATAGAACTCTGAAATATAGTAAACATGCTGGAAATGCAGCATAGAACTCTGAAATATAGTAAAACATCCTGGAAATGCTGCATAGAACTTTGAACTACAGTAAAACCTCCTGACAATGCTGCATAGAACTCTGAAATATAGTAAAACATCCCGGAAATGCTCCATAGAACTCTGAAATACAGTAAAACTTCCTGTAAATGCTACACAAAACTCTGAAATACAGCAAAACTTATTGGAAATACTGCATAGAACTCTGAAATATAGTAAAACTGCCTGGTAATGCTGCATAGAATTATGAAATATAGTAAAACTTCCTGGAAATGCTGCATAGAACTCTGAAATATAGTAAAACCTATAGAATATATGCAGAACTCTGAACTAAAGCAAATACTCAAGGAAAACTAAATTATTATGTTACAATGATTATAATTGAAAATACAAAGTCTCTAGATTGCTTCTTCTGCTGAAAACAACTGTGAGGTTCTATGTAGGTATAGCAATATAAAATATTGATGGATGGAATATTCAGAAATGTGGTTGTTAGTGGAAGTGTTTCTGAGACTCTGCAGCACTAACTTTACAGCTAAAACCTTTAAACATTGTAAACCTTTCATGGCTCTATGTTAGGAAACCTGTTCAATACACAGCCATAGTAACCTTCCAGGCATCAAGGAAGCATTAATGCATATCAGATCAAATGATGGGAAATGTACATTTTTTCTTCAAGAAAAATAACTAGCAAAACCGTAAATGAATATAAATTATACACATATATATTTGTATTCACGTATAAAGGTGCTAAAATGTACTTTGACTTTGTCATTTTCAACTTCTGAACTATCCTGAATATTTGTCAACTAAAAGTCAACCATATGTGTGCATTGAAGTGTCTTATAACCTCCTCTAGGAACATTGCAACATTGCTATGTTTAAAGTGGTTTCTGGTTTGTTACTTTATTTATACTGACAGATAGTGATAGATTGTGGAGAAAGTAAAACGGTCTGGTGACATAGCAATATAGGTTAAACTCAGTGTATTAACTCTTCGCTCGTCCCTGCTGCTACAGTTAATCCATAAAAAAAGGAAAAAAAACTACAAAATAAAACGAATCCAACTTTAAAAGATTTTGCAGTTCTGCCACGCAAAAAGGGAAATGAGTATTCTTGTAGTCCGATATCTCATTGGATCAACATGAATATGTTGAACACTGAACAGTAGTCTTCAGTTTCTTCAGGAATAAGGGATAGTCCTCAGATGTTATGATGAATGTGTGCATGGAGTTTCAGAGCCATTCTCTTGTGCAAATTTATAGACAGCAGTCATATTTCACAAAAAAAACTTGCCTTTAGTATGTTTGGCAATTCCAAGCTTATTAAACAAACCCCGTGGTCATCTATAAATGTCTTTTAACTAGATATTAAATTGCATCAGCCGATCACTCATTATATATTAGAGATTTTCAGTATATTCACAGGTTAACACAAGGCATATTATTTACTTTACTTTATCCAAAAGGCTGAAGGAAGATCCATAGATTTCAGAAGTCAGCGGATAAAGGAGAGGACATCTTTATTTTAACTTTTAGAGGGAAATTAAAGCAAATCCTAATTTTATTCACTGACAAACTATTTTCATTTAGGAAGCAAAGAGATTCTAATTGTATAATTTTTGAATGCCTCTAAATTATTGAATGCCCTTCATAACAATAATTTCCTATTTGGCTTGGAATGGAGATCATCTGTTTTTCTGTGATAGCTTGTCTGGTTCATTGGCTGAACTTCCGATGATGGGTAATTTATACATTTTGCATTTGTACATTTATTGAATTATATTTAAATCTGTTTTGTTTTTTCACAATGCTAGTGAGAACGAAATGCCTACACAATAGCTGCATTGTGTTTCCACACTGAGATAAACGCAAACAGCATTGCCACTCTGACAGAAGCTACCACCTTAAAGATTTTCTTGGCACAAAAGGCGCTTCCAACACAGTCAGTCTTTTAGATCTCCTGCTCATGTTGTTGTAGGTTCCTTTACCAGAAGCCTCCTATTTTATCAGAGTTTATAGAGAAACATGGGTTATGATGTGAATGAAAGATTGCCAAGCCATGGACAGTAGTTTGCCTTTTTGGGACATTTGTTTGGAAGGTCTAGTATCTTTTAGTTATGCTCTCCTGAAAGAACTTAAACAGGATTCCAAATGAGTATGTATAATTAAACTTTATTGGTTATAATGAAACAGAGCAAGAACAATATAACTGTCACTTAGAACCCAAGGTTTAGTTAATCAGAGTGACACACAGAGATTAAGGGATAGATTATACTTCACTGTAACTTTGACAATATGCTACAGTTCATAGTACTGTCCAGACTGACAAATGTATTCATTAATACTTACGATGCATGATGTTGCATTGCCTAACAATACATATAAATCACAAGGCAAGTAAAATACCTATCTTACATATAGGTGCTCTCTGTCTCCAACTGCATTTCTATTTATTGTTGAAATGTTTTTTTGCAGCATAGCCTTTTATTCCACATTATAAATAATTTTCGGTGTCGTTCATGCATTTATGTTTTTGTAGTGCAAAGTTTTTTTGTGATTTCCAGAGTAATGTCATATCCTGGCTCAAAGCACATCTCGAGATCTGAGCAAGTGTTTGCATTCCCTATAGATAAAAACCACCACACCAATATAAGTACCCCTGAAATATATCTATGCTGCTTCATGCTCCATTGTGGTACCCTCACCATCCAGAAACAGATTGTATATGTAGTAGCTTTAGTTTTACTTTGTTGGACTTTCTCTTTTCATTGTTTTGCGGTATGAAGTCTATTGGCTATAAGATCATCTCAGGAGTTTTATTACAGCATTTGAGTATGTTATTAGAGTGGACAGTTTGCAAATTTTAATCCAAATTGTTTTTTATTTTTTTTTAAATTTGCATCTCATTTGTTGATGAGTTTTGCTTAGATCAAGTAAAAATGCTTTCAAAGGTAGTGAGGTGCATCTAACTTTCTATAATTTTGCATCAAACCTTCATTAATAGACATTTTGACTTTGTTATTCACAAGGAGTGGCTTTCAACATCACCTTCCCTGTTGTGAGTCCAGTTAGATTGCCCTTTCTAGTGGTCTCCAATCCTTTTCAGGTAGGAACACCTATTTTTGCTGATCATGATTTCCCTCTGGGAGGAAAAGGGAGCTTTCATGGGGACTGGCCTAATGAAAGCTCTCAGGGATCACCATTGTTTGATTATAAAACTGGGAGCATTCTTGTGAGAAGGTCCAAGAGCCCTGTCCTCATTTTAAAGTAATCCGTGGGGAGGACCAATGATAGAATCACCATATGGAAGTGGGAAGCGCTCAGGATATGGACAAGAATGAGCATTTAGAAAACATAATGTGAGAAGGCAGTGTGTATCTCTGGGCAGGGAGTAACAATGTTATCCCAATTTGCATGTGACTGGAGTATATGGTTAAGTTCTGAGGAGTATGGTGCAGTCCCAAGGCCTGAACATTAGATATGGCCACAAGAGTATCTTATGTGTGCATAGTTAGCTTAAATTTGCTTAACACAAATATAAAGCTCTCGATACCAAAACAAATAATCCTGAAAGTAGTGTTTGTTTGATGAGGAAGAAGTTACCAATAGACTTTTTAAAATAATTGACCACATCATGTAAAAAAATGACATAACAAATGTATGCCGATAAAGATTGCCTATATACACATGCATTTACCGAGACTGATGTTCTTCTGTTATTGTTGTCCAAACTTATATTAAAGAGTGACGCAAAACATTATTAACTAGTATTTTCAAATGTTTTCTCCCTAACTTTACCTGGATTCTTAAAAAGGAACTGTCACTCTTCCAAACCCTTCATTGTCAAGTGAACAAAATGTGTGAATGGCACAGTTAGGTTCAAGTAGGTGTAAACATTTTAAGGGACACTATAGTCACCGAACAGCTACAGCCTAATGTAGTGGTGCTGGTGTCTGTAGCCTGTCTGTGCAGGATTTTAAATGTACACTGCTACCTACAGTGAGGGAAAAAAGTATTTGATCCCCTGTTGATTTTAAACATTTGCCTACTGACTATAAGTCTATAATTTTAATGTTAGGTGTGTTTTAACAGTTAACAGAATAATAAAAAAAATCCCGAAAAAAGGAAGTAAAAAAAGTTATAAATTGATTTGCATGTCAATGAGTGAAATAAATATTTGACCCCTTCGACTTAGTACTTGGTGGCAAAACCCTTGTTGGCAATCACAGAGGTCAGAAGTTTCTTGTAGTTGGCCACTAGGTTGGCACACATCTCAGGAGGGATTTTGTCCCACTCCTCTTTGCAGATCCACTCCAAGTCTATAAGGTTTCAAGGCTAACGTTTGGCAACTCGAACCTTCAGCTTCCTCCACAGATTTCTATGGGATTAAGGTCTGGAGACAGGCTAGGCCACTCCAGGACCTTAATGCTATTCTGCTTGAGCCACTCCTTTGTTGCCTTGGCTGTGTGTTTTTGGTCATTGTCATGCTGGAATACGCATCCACGACCCATTTTCAATGACTGGCCTTTGATGCGGTGCAGTTGTCCTGTCCTCTTAGCAGAAAAACACCCCAAAGCACAATGTTTCCACCTCCATGTTTGACGGTGGGGATGGTGTTCTTGGGGTCATAGGCAGCATTCCTCCTCCTCCAAACATGGCAAGTTAAGTTAATGCCAAAGAGTTCAATTGTGGTCTCATCTGACCACAACACTTATCCCCAGTTCTCTTCTGAATCATTCAATAGTACCGAGCTGTGGTATGTGCTGTGGTCTGTGTGGAGGACTAAGCCTGACTGAGACATCAAGATAGTGAGCATGGGCTTGGCAAGTAGACGAGCCCAGCAGACCATGTGGCTGTGTGTTTGTCGGAACTGCCTTTAAAGGCAGCTGTCAAAGACTCCATCCCATGGGTTTCCTCCACCTTAGCCACCCATTGCTGAAGTGTCGGCGCGCATGTTTTCTTCCAGAGGAGTGGGATTAGGGATTTAGCTGCTGTGAGCAGGTGTTTAGTAAGAGAATTTTTGTATGCTGCTAGTGGGATGTCGGTATGGTGTATGAGCATGGGGAGTGGTTGCATCGGGAGGTCTGTGTCAGTGATTTCCCTAATTTTTGTGTTTATCAGTTCCCAGAAACAGCGCAGCGTTTTTGCGCAAAAGCTTCCCAAAGTTTTTCTATGGAAAATCATTGGATTGCCTAAGATCATTATGATTGATGATCTTAGCCGTGGAGGCGAGGCCAGATGTGGCTGTGAAAAAAAAATTATTTACCTTTTCGGGGTGATTGGACACACACCAGCATAATAATAATAATAAATAATGTGTGTATTCCTGACACTATAGTGTTCCTTTAAGCTGTCAACTCCCACAACATTCTTTTGCTGCCGTCCAGGGGATCCTTAGTCACTTAACTGACTAAAAATCACTCAACTTTGTTAAGCGAACATGTGAATTTACTGCTGTTGAAATTAGAGTGATATTTGGTTGTGTAAGAACTGCTCCAGACCAAAGATCACTTAAGCAGCAGTATTCAGGGAGAAATTTGATGAGGGAGCTGACAGTTTTCCTTTAATAAGAGTTGTGTTAGTGAAATTATAGAGTAAAAGAAAAACTTAAAGGGACACATAGCTTTAGCTTAATGAAGCAGTTTTGGTGTATAAATCATGCTCCACCAATCTAACTGCTCAATTTCTGCAATGTTAGAGTTAAATCATTCTGTTTCTGTTTATGCAGCCCAAGCCAAACCTCCACTAGCTGTGACTCACACAGTCTACATGAAAAACAAATAGCTTCATCGATCATATCTTACAGCATAATTTTTTCAGAAGTTTTTGTATCTCGTGCTCAGTTAATTTAATTTTAATCGCACACAAGGCTGTTGCAAGCTCTAGCAGGCTATTAACAGAACAGGATATAGGACAGTCTAAATTAAAAAGACTGAGCAGCAATAAGGAACACTAATACATTTAGACTTGTTTAAGTCATGTCAGAAAGTGTTTAAGGGGGCAGTGTGAGTCTCAGAAAGGTGTGGCTAGGGCTGCCTAAACAAAGAGATGTAAGTCTTAAATGGCAGAGAATTTACACCAAAGTTACCTCATTACAGTAAAGTTGTATTGGTGCTACGAGTTTCCCTTTAATTTACTAGATAGCTTTATTTATGTCTAATGCTGTGGAGTTTGACTGACCTTGCCCAAAGATCAGCCTATGGGTATTCTTATTCAATGCCACTGGGGAATACCTTCCAAATGGAAATGGCATTATCATGGGTTTTAATGCCCAAAGTTTAAATTGAGCCTCAGCTTTGCCATTTATGTTTTGGGCAAATCTAACTGATATCTTGCCATTTAGCTGTCACTAATGACCAGCACTGATATAATAAAATAAATAAATGGGGGAAAAAAATAACATCTCAAATAAAAATGAATTGTAAAACTGAGCCTCACACAACACTGCTATTGACTAAAGGTGCACGCCGGGCACCAACACAACTTCATCTAAATTAAGTTGTTATTGTGCGAGGAGGCCCCTTAAGGCACCCTTACTGCAAGTGATTAAATTGTTTTTTAAAGGTTTAACCCCAAAGTTGGCTCCAGCGGCGATCTCCACTCCCTTCCAGGCGGTATCCGGCTTCTGAAATTTCACGAAGACTCGAGTGCGACCGTGCAAGAGTGCAGCTGACACTCTCAGTCAATCAGTAATTAATGTACATTTTCCAAGCCAGTTTTGTGAATGGGGAGTCAATGATTGTCTGAGAGTGTCAGCTGACTGCTCTCCGCCAATCAGCGGCACCACTGCCCGGCGGCACACCGTACTTCCTGAAAGGAACATTTCGGAAGCCGAATACTTCCTGGGGTAGTGTTTGAGAATGGTTTAACCCCTTGAGGTAAGAGTGCCTTCGTGGACCTCCTGACACCATAACAACTTAATTTAGATTAAGCTGTTTTGGTGCCTGGAGTGTCCCTTTAGAAAGCATGAAGACAGTTGTGCAACTGTAAAAATAAGTACAAATAGTTGAACATAAACAGAAATTACTTGGGATATTAATAGAAAAGATTACAATTTCATGAAAAATAATAGCTGAAACATCTGCCTTTTTAACCCCTTAAGGACCAAACTTCTGGAATAAAAGGGAATCATGACATGTCACACATGTCATGTGTCCTTAAGGGGTTAAGCTAAAATTGTAATTGGAAGGGCAGACGGTTGGATTTAAACAGGATTTGTCATGCTTGAATGTTATTACATTAACAAGAAAAGATATAAAAGCAGACTAGCAGGATTTTGTTTGCTGTTAATATAACAGACACTTTGGAATGTAAGGCCCATGGAAAAGAACCTAATGTTGGTATGAAACGCGTAGCTGCCTGCTGTGGGACAATATCATTAAGTTCCACATAGTTTCCTTTGGTATTTTTTGCCCATTACTTTTTGACACCATGAACGTTTATAGGATTCTCAATAAACTGGACCATCTATTTCAAGTATACTAACCATCCACTGCTTTATTCCAGTTTAGGGATGCAATGAGTACTGTACACACCTTGTGACCTAGTTATTTACCATGTGGTCTAGGTCGGGTGTGGAAAGGTCTCCAACAATGTATGGTCCTGCGCTATTCATATTTGCTAAGTTTCCCATTCTTTTGACTTCTAAGTCTTCACGTCAATTGCATAACAATCTCTGTACAGTTCTGTTGTCCTTCACTGCACTAGATAGTGTCATCTACATAAAGTAGTGGATAAGTCCATTTTCCATTTCTGTGTCTGGTAAATAGACATGGATCTGCTTTGCTTTGAATGAAGTTTTGCTTGATGAGCATTTAACATAGTTTGTCATTCCATGTCCTGGCAGCTTGTTAGAGTCCATTTAGTCCTTCCTGTTGCTTGCATACTGAACCTTTATTTGTTTCAAATCATTCAGGCTCCATCTTGTAAATGTCCTCATCTATTTTAACATTCAAAAAAGCTGACTTTACATCTATCTGCTCTACATGAAACTGTATAGATGCTGCAATAGTCAGTAATGTTATTATTGTGCTGAATCTGACTACAGGTGCAAAGGTCTTCCCCATAAATCCTTCTTCTACAAGTCTAGCTTTGGACTACAATTCCATCTGAATCCAGTTTTTGCTTGAATACCTACTGTCCATCTATGGCCTTTTTACCTTTAGGTAACGGGTACAAATCCATGTTTTGAGTTTGTTTAAGGATTCAATTTCTTATTTTGCTGTCTCCTTCCACTTATCCATTCCCCCCCCGCCCCCCCCCCCCCCACACACAGTTGCAGACATATACATTTATATACACACACAATAGATGTATGTCTGTGTGTGTACATCTGTGGTTGTGTGTGTGTATATACGTGTGTGTGTGTATATATATATATATATATATATATATATTTTATATATATATATATATTTATTTTATATATATATATATATATATATAATCAGAGACATACACCCACATAACCACAGACACACACAATTACAGACCCAAACATACAATCCCAGACCTACACACATAATCACATACATAAACACATAATCACAACACACACTTAACCACAGAGATGCACACACAATCACACACATAGTCACAGACATACACAAACACAATCACAGACCCACACACATAAAATCACAGACACATATAATTAGATGTACACACACTATCATCACATACATACACACATTTAATAAGAGGTACACCCAACCTTCCTTCCTTGTTCTGGGAGGGCTGGAATGGATAGCTGGTGGTCAGTGATTGCTGCTGGGATCTCTGTGCTCTTCCTGCACAGGTCCCTCGCGTGCACTGTAATGACCTGGATGCCAGGATGATGTCATATCCCGGCTCTCTGCAGAGTGAAGACAGTCAGACACAATCAGATGCACACAGTTATACACACATACTGTCAAATACAACCACATGCACACAGTCCCAGGCACATAGTCACTCGCACACAGTCAAAAACACAGTTACAGGCAGACAGTCACACAAACACACAGTTACAGGCAGTAGCACGCACAATTACAGGCAGACTGTAACATAGTTACAGGCAGTAGCATGCACAATTACAGGCAGACTGTAACATAGTTAAAGGCAGCATCATATAGTCATAGGCAGACAGTCACACACACTCAGTGACATGCAGACAGTCACACACGCAGGCACAGGCAGGCAGTCATACATGCAGTCACACACACACACACAGTTGCAGACAGTCACAGCCAGACAATCACACACACAGTCACAGGCAGACCCTGGTGTGTAGTAGTTGAGGAAGCTCCTTCCTGCTTCCTCTCTGTGTACAGCAGTAGCTGCAGCGAAGTCTTGGTGCAGGAAAGAGGGTTTGGGATTTTTAGAGCACTGGGACAGTTTTGAGCTTGGGTACAACCTGTATCGCCATGATGGATTACACCTAAACAGAAAAGGGTCTGCTGTGCTGGAGGGTTAGGATGGCTAGATGGTTGGAGGAGATTTTAAACTAGTAGTGGAGGGGAGGGGGAGGGGGTTGAAGGGTCATAGCAATCTAGAAAATGGAGATAGGATAGAAAGGAGTTGGATTTTACCTCAGTATAAGGGGGGTGGAGATGGGGGGAGGGGCAAGTTCAGAACAGAGGAGGTATGTAATATTGATAAAAATTCACAAAAAGTACAAATGACTCCTGATAATATTAAATGTATGCTTACTAATGCAAGGAGCCTATATAACAAAATGGGAGAACTAGAGGCAATAGCATACACTAAACAATATGATATCATAGGCATAACAGAAAAAAAAATTCACCATTTTCTATCCTATTATTCTGTATTGAGTGCTCTCACCATTTTCTATCTATTTATAACAGAAACATGGTGGGATGAGACACATGACTGGGCAATTAACTTAAATGGGTACATGTTATTTAGGAAGGATTGGAAAAACAAGAAGGGTGGTGGGGTATGTTTGTATGTCAACCATGAGTTAAAGTCAAATCTTAGGCATGTGGAGTGTGACAAGGAAAATGTGCAAACTTTATGGGTAGATATCTGCTAGGGGCAAACAAAGGGAAATCAGTTATTGGTTGGGATATGTTATAAACCACCTAATGTAAATATTAATGAACAGCTGTTCGAGCAAATTGGGAAAGCTGCAAATCTGGGTAACATGTTAACTATTGGAGCTTTTAATTACCCAGACATAAATTGGAATAGAGGGACAAGTACTTCAGCAAGAGGAATCAGGTTTTTGAATGTGTTAAATTACACATTAATGTCACAACTGGTACAAGCACCAACCAGAAAGGATGCTTGTCTGGATCTTGTTATAACAAACAATGTTGATCTTTTGACCTGATCTATTGACCAACATTCAAGTAGGGGAGCATTTTGGAAATAGTAATTACAATACGGTAATTTTTTAAATAAACTCAAAAAAGCAAAAGCATGTGGGGTATACTAAAACGTATAATTTAAAGAAAGCCCATTTCAATAAGATTAGGGCAGCTCTACAACATATCGACTGGCATAAACTCCTTAGTGAAAAAAACACTGAGGATAAATGGAAACTATTCAAACGAATATAAGAAAGGTACATGTCTCAGTATGTACCATTGAGTAATAAATATAAAAGAAACAAATTGAAACCAATGTGGCTTAGTAGAGAAATAAAACAAAAGATTAAAAATAAGAAAAGGGCATTTAAAGCATTTAAATCAGACAAATCAGAGGCATCCTATATAAGATATAAGGAAGCCAAAAATGCTTGCAAAAACGCAATTAAAGTGGCTAAACTATAAAATTAGAAATTGATAGCCAAAGAATGCAAAACTGACCCCAATTTTTTTTCAAATACATAAATTCAAAAAAAACAAAAAAATGGAAGACCAGGAAAAGGCAGAAATGTTAAATAACTATTTTTCTTCAGTATATATTAATGAGGATCCTATGGCAAGAGATATGCAAATGATTGCAAAAAACTTGCAGAAAACTTTATGATTGGATGACTCGAGATAAGGTACTAGAGCATTTAAAGAAAATTAATGTAAATAAAACTCCGGGGCCTAACCGTATTCACCCACGAGTACTTAAGGAGCTAAGTGGGAAAATAAGTAAACCTCTGTATTTAATCTTTCAAGATTCTTTTGTTTCAGGTATTGTACCAGAGAATTGGAGGAAGGCAGATGTCATTCCTATATTTAAAAAAGGTTCAAAAACTTGCCTGGAAATTATAGATCTGTGAGCTTAACTTCTGTGACTGGGAAAATATTTGAAGGGCTATTTAGGGATAATATTCAGAAATTTATTGGGAAGAACTTTGTTATTAGCAATAATCAGCATGGTTTTATGAAACATAGGCCATGTCAAACTAACCTAATTGCAATCTATGAAGAAGTAAGTAGAAGTATAGATTAGGGTGTTGCAGTGTATGTGATCTACTTGGGTTTTGCCAAGGCATTTGATACGGTTCCTCACAATAGGTTAGTCTTCAAACTAAAATTGGTCTAGATGAATATTCTTGTTCTTGGGTAGAACATTGGCTTAAGGATAGAGTACAACGAGTTGTCATTAATGGTAAATTTTCAAGCTGGACAAAAGTGGTAAGTGATGTCCCTCAGGGTTCTGTTTTGGGACCTCTTCTATTTAACATATTTATAAATGATCTTGAAATAGGCATTGAAAGTCATGTTTAAGTGTTTGCAGATGACACAAAACTTTGTAAAATAATAAAATGTGAGCAGGATATTGCTTTGTTGCAGAGGGATTTAGACAGATTGGGGGACTGGGCACTAAAATTGCAGATTAAATGTAATGTAGAGAAATGCAAAGTTATGCACTTCTGGGTCACAAATGCACAAGCAACTTACACCCTAAATGGGAGTGAATTAGGGATAACCACCCATGAGAAGGATTTGGGAATTATTATAGACAACAAATATGATAGAAACATTTAAAAATATAAAGGGAATCAACACAGTAAAGGAGGAGACTATATTTAAAAGAAGAACAACTACCACAACAAGAGGACATAGTCTTAAATTAGAGGGACAAAGGTTTAAAAATAATATCAGGAAGTATTACTTTACTGAGAGGGTAGTGGATGCATGGAATAGCCTTCCAGCTGAAGTGGTAGAGGTTAACACAGTAAAGGAGTTTAAGCATGCGTGGGATAGGCATAAGGCTATCCTAACTATAAGATAAGACTAGGGAGTAATGAAAGTATTTAGAAAATTGGGCAGACTAGATGGGCCGAATGGTTCTTATCTGCCGTCACATTCTATGTTTCTATGTTTCTATGTTTCTATGTAATTAGGCAGCAATATGCAATGTCAATCTGCAGTTGCTAAGGCCAGTAAGATTTTGTCATGTATAAATAGGGGCATAATTTATAGGGATGAAAATATAATTTTGCCTCTTTATAAATTGCTGGTAAGACCACACCTTGAATATGATGTGCAATTTGGGGCACCTGTTCTAAAGAAGGATATCATGGCACTAGAAAAAGTGCAAAGACGAGCTACAAAATTGATAAAAGGAATGGAGCATTTTAGTTACGAAGAAAGGTTAAAAAATTTAAATCTCTTTAGTTTGGAAAAACGGCGGCTTAGAGGGGATATGATAACATTATACAAATATATTCGGGGCCAGTACAAATCATTATCTGAAAATCTATTCATAAACAGGGCTATACATAGGACTCGAGGCTGGAAAAAAGGAGATTTACTCTAAGGCAAAGAAAACTTTTTTTACAGTAAGAACTATAAGGATATGGAATTCTCTGCCTGAACAGGTGGTTTTATCAGAGTCCATACAGATGTTTAAACAGCAATTGTATAAATACTTACAAAAACATAACATACAGGGATATAATTTCTAATTTGTGGGGTAATAGCTGCTTGATCCAATGAGATATCTGACTGCCATTTTGGGGTCAAGAAGGAATTTTCTGCTTTTTGCACTTCAGCCTTGGTTTTTTGCCTTCTTTTGGATCAACAGCAAAAAACAAATGTGAGGAAGGCTGAACTTGATGGACGAAAGTCTCTTTTCAGCTATGTAACTATGTGTCTTAAGTGTGAAATCACAAGGAAAGTAATGATATATATATATATATATATATATATATATATATATGAATATATGGTTTTTAAAAATAATATTGAATGTTTAAATATAGGAACACTGTGTCATAAACATATTACTTATCATGCTAAAGGTACTTTGAATTCTCACTTTTTTGAATAACCCTGCTTATTTATAAAAAAAGGGAGTTTTGCTTATCTGTTCTCCCTCGCAGCGCTGGTCTCTGGCATATAGCTCCAGCTCTATGGCTGACATCATCCGGACCATAGGAAAGCATTGAGAGGTTCGTGTGCATGCACGCCAAATTGCTGTGCTGCACTAATCAGGTGGTCTCTATGAAAGACCCATTTTTATGTCTAGTTTTTCCATTGTTTTTCATGTTGTTAAATATAAAACTGTGTTCATCACAGTATCTCATGCTACATCTTCATATGCTGCTTATGTCATATATTTTGTACTCTGTGCTGGAGATAATTAAAGAATTATATAAAAAAAGAACATTTTCTCCATCCCCCAAGTTTAGGTTTTCTGTCTATAGGATACGATTGCTGAACAATGTGTGTGTATATATATATATATATATATATATATATATATATATATATAAGCGTGATATATAAATCTGGCTCTTATTGCAGGGTTAAAATTTAAGCAGAGTGTTAAGGTATCAAGATTGATGACTTTGTTATTCCAGGATACGTTAATACAGCAACGACAACGTTAGTCTCCATTTGTATGTACCCGATATAAATATTTACAAGGAGCATACGATTTTCCTTACATATGGCTGTTTATATTACAGATGGCTAAGAGTGGAAAATGACTTACTCTTTAAATCCATAAGGAATATGCTGGTAATGAGTTTATATAATGAGCTATAAAATAATACACAAGAGTGTGAAGAACTTGCAGATATTACAACAACAAAACGTGTCTCTTCTTTAAAAAGGGCAGGGCGATAAAAAGTATTATCTCAAATTTCACATACACATCTGTTTACTAAGTATAAGCAGTGAGTTAAGAGTATCACATCTCTAAGTAATTTAATAATTAGAAGAACAGGCCAGACACCAACGCTGCAAGAGATCATCATTCTGATTCTTTTTGCACAAAGGCTGAAATGTTTTTTTTTTTTTTAAAGATGTTAAATAGACACAAACATTAGAAGAAAAAAAATCAAAGTATACACTTAAATCCATAAATAGGTTGATGCAAGTTAAATATATCAATAAAAAATCGAATTTTGTACTAGTCAGAAGAATCCATATCTCCGGTGAATAAAGCAGAAGGTTCACTATTTTGTCGATTAAAGCTTGATTTATGTGAATACAGAGAAGAGATATTCCATCTTCCAGAATGCCTATATCGAGGTGCTTGCTTGCTGTGAGCAATTTGCCCGCTAAAAAACTTGTAATGTTACTTAGAAGATCTATCATAAGTATCTTTGGTTTGAAAGTGGATGAGAAACAAGACCACACAGGTTAAATATTATAATGATATGGCATGTTATCATCAGTTACTGGCACTTGTTTATACCATGGTTACGTATGTTATAAAGTAGTTTTTAAAGTGTTATTATAATCCTGGCAGGATAGGTATAACCCTATATGCAGTATTCATACACACAGGACAAGAAGAACAGTAGATAAGAGGTAGGTATTACCGGACCTTAGAGTAGCCGGGCTTAACGTGTAAAATACAAGGATAAGGAATGTCAAGAAACAAGCCAAGGACAATCTTCTGAATGCTATGAGAGTAAAATAATTTCAAATTAAAGAGACACTATAGTCACCTGAACAACTTCAGCCTAATGAGGTTCTTCAGGTGATAACTATAGCTCCCCTTCAACCTTTCTCATGTAAACACTGTATTTTCTGAGAAAATACACTGTTTACATTGAAAGCTAGGAACACCTCCAGTTGCAGTCACTCAGAGTGAACCAGAGGGACTCAGATCTGCTGTGCACGAGCATCCTGTGATTTAGTATATCCTCCCACTGCATGCAGACACTGAACTTTCCTCATAGAGATTCATTGATTCAATTCATCTCTATGAGGAGATGCTGATTGGCCAGGGCTGTGTTTGAATCATGCTGGCTCTGCCCCTGATCTGCCTCCTTGTTATTCTCAGCCAATCCTATGGGGAAGCACTGTGATTGGATCAGGCTATCACATGTTATATGGACTACGTGGGCTCCATAGTGTTTAATCTTGTGTCTATAATACTATTACTTCAAGGAATATTAATAGGCGGTCGCGGGTATAGATCGTCTCTACTCCCTCTAGTTTGTGCACTTACTACAATCCTATTTCCCCCCCTTATCCTTCTCTTTTTCCTATCCCTTGCTCATCCCTGACCTCTGGTTGTTAAGAAGTCGTTCCATGGGGCCCATCTATTCTTAAATTGATTGAATTTGCCTATTGCGGAGAGTCTTAATTCTTCCATCTTATATATGTTGTCGACTTTTTGATACCATTCCCTTCTGGAAGGTCTCTTATTGTTTTTCCAATTTCCTGCTATGACCGACTTAGCTGCTGTTAGTAGGTAGTATATCAGTGAGTGTTTGAATTTATTCATGGAAATGGGAATGTTGAAGAAAAGTATTATCTCCGGTTTAAATGGCATAGGGACCCTACATATGTGTTCTGTGGTTTTTGTTACCTCCTTCCAAAATGCCTCTATCCTCCTACAGGACCACCAGATGTGATGGTTAGTGCCCTGCTCTTCCTCGCACCTCCAGCAAGTAGGTGTATACAAACAAATTTCAGTTCAAATAACTGTTGTAAGAAATACTCAAGTGATACAGTTACACTGCCTGTTAACAGTGAAATGCCACTGTGGGAACAACAGCTACAAATTAGTAGTGTCAATAATGTATCGATATACCAGTATCCGGGCTCAAGGAAAAATAGCCAAGTCCCAGTGAGCTGCACTGAAGCTGTTAACAAAGCTGATAACAATGTTTACCGAAACTGCAATGTCTGGACTCCAAAACAAGCTTGAGAGTGCCAATACACTGCAGAAAAGAGCATCTCAGAAATGATGACCGCAAAACTTGAGAGATGTGCTTGTTCACAGTCATCTCGAACCACCTAGTGTCACCCCAGGGTGGCTATCAAAAACTAAGAGAGTTTTTAAATGTGGGTCATGCAAGGCGTGTAAATTTATTAACCCTTCTAAATCTGTACAGTGCTCGATTACAAACAAGGTGTCCTGACAATTAGTGATGGAATTCACATGTTGTAATATACGCCTACGAAATTGTTGGTATGTCTTGCCCACATATTGGAGGTTACAGCTGCAAGTGATGACATACACAATTCTGGTTGTACTACAATTAATGAAATCCCGGATAGGGTACTGGTTGTTTGTAATCGAGCACTGTACAGATTTAGAAGTGTTAATAAATTTACACGCCTTGCATGACCCACATTTAAAAACTCTCTTAGTTTTTGATAGCCACCCTGGGGTGACACAAGGTGGTTCGAGATGTGAACAAGCACATCTCTAAAGTTTTGCGGTCATCATTTCTGAGATGCTCTTTTCTGCAGTATACTGGCACTCTCAAGCTTGTTTTGGAGTCCAGACATTGCAGTTTCGGTAAACATTGTTATCAGCTTTGTTAACAGCTTCAGTGCAGCTCACTGGGACTTGGCTATTTTTCCTTGAGCCCGGATACTGGTATATCGATACATTATTGACACTACTAATTTGTAGCTGCTGTTCCTACAGTGGCATTTCACTCTGTTAACAGGCAGTGTAACTGAATCACTTGAGGAATTCTTACAACAGTTATTTGAACTAAAATTTGTTTGTATTCCCCCCTTTTAACTATTTACATTAAAAGTGAAGTTTTAATTATCTTTAATTATCTGCAGGACACCCTATCATTTATCCCGTCCCTTCTCCTGTCTCCCTTCCTTATTGTTTAGTTTTATAGTGCATTTCATTGCACATGGGGTTAACCCCCGCTCAGGAGTAAGATTATTGTACTATCTTCCTTTCCCTTGTTTTCTGATTTGAGAATACGTTGATCATGGATTTGTGGCTTGATGTGAAATTTATTAACACAGTAATGGGGCACAGGTACTTATTTGGAAATTAAAGAGACACTCTATGCACCTACACCACTTCATCTCATTAAACACTAAAAAGTGCTGAGAAGCAGCTGTCAAGCTCTATTTGAATACCTATTGATTAATGTATGTATGTATATTGCTTGTTATGCTCCATTCCACTTTTTAATGTTTGTTGAAGTATTTTGGTGTGCGTTAAAGGGACACCACATGGAAGAGTTATAGAGCACATTGACCATAACCACTGTGTATACATTATATTACACTTCATCTCATTGTCAACAAAAATAGAATCTAGGCACTTTACAATCTATTACATGATTCCTACAGAAGATTAGAGCCCAAAAACATTTACCGCTATCCTGAATATTGCTTGTAATGACTTCCAAGTTAGTTAAATAGATATCATTTAAGTAGAAATCCCTCATTTTTTATCAGTTATGTCCCTTACTTGCTCTCATAGTTCACATATTGCATGTTAACCGTACCTATAGCTCCACATGTTTTCCCATATTATCCTGTTTGTTACCATGTCTTGTTCACCTGAGGCTTTATTAAGGTTTGAGCGGTACTTTTGGTTTCTAAGCCTTTCTATGACTACTAACAAACCTGTGGTAAATTCATGGAAATCGTAGAGTAGGAGAAGGTAAAAATACATGTAATGGCAACAACATGGGGTTTGAAAAACAAAAAAAAAATGTTATACAGAGAGAGTAAGGATTGGGTAGAAAACAAGGATAATATAGCCAGAAAGACGATAGATAAAGCATATAATCAGTGAAGGAACAGTGTACTGGAACTGGGACCACAAAAAAGGGAGAGTTGCATGAGAGTAGACAGAAAAGACAGTGTGCCAAGAAGGGAAGCGGAGGAAGGAATTTTGAGAAGTTTAAGGATGGTTCTAGAGCTAATGAAAAAAAACATGAAGTCAGAGAGTGAATATGCTGAGCACATACTGAGAGGCAACAGGAAAAAAAGAGAGAATGGCAAGGGGGTGGATTTGAACGGAAGTGTCATAGAAGTGGGTGAGGTGGAGAAAACAGAAAATTCCAAGAATTAGAAGCAAGTTGAACTGTAACATGAGATACCCAATACTTCTAGAAGTGTTAGCTTGAGACACAGTGATTATGCCTCAGAAAAACATGTAGACATATCAAAATAAAACTAGTCTCACATTTAGAGTGATCAGATATTTCAGGCAATTGCATGCTGCCTATTGCATATCTGCTCAGCAGTGAAGGATCGCTATACTGTCTTCCTGTAACAGCATGCTTAGGATATTTTCTTTTGGTTCGCACTTTCATCCCTACTCTGGAAAAATGTAAAATATTTGAAATCTTTGACAATCTTAAAAAGCTCAGAGTAACCGTGTGGAACAATTGGTTCAGTGTTATGCTGAAAGGAATTAGGTTCCCAAATATACAAGCACACACATGAAAATATACAAGTACAAGATGTTGGTGATTTATTTGTTGAAACTCAGAATAGCAGCCATCCTTCATAGCATCATTTGGAACTAATTTAGTAAACTCTAAGGTAAAATGGTCAAGAATCTTGCCTTAGGTGCTAAATGTGAAAGTAATACATTTTGGAGTGTGTTTATTAAGTTAAACATATGTGAAGGTATAACATGAGTGTCTGTCTGTCTGTCTGTGTCTGTCTGTCTATCTATCTATCTATCTATCTATCTATCTATCTATCTATCTATCTATCTATCAATCTCCTTATCTATCTCATAAACAGAGAAAGCCCTGCTTCTGTGCTCAGCCCCTGAAGGGGACTTAATGATGTGCTAAGGGAACCTAAAAGGGAGTAATCCTAGTATCATGTATGAACAAACACATAAATGTCTAGTGGACACTAAGGCCAAAGGCACAAAGAGGTCTAGTGTAATAGCAAAAGTATAATAAAAACGCACAATTTTATTAGTATAAACAAAAGGACAATTTCAAAAGGAAAAACCAATTAAAAGAGCCTGACTGGCTCAATAGTTATTAGGGGGCAGGGAGGTTTGAGTGGGCAAGGAGGGACAAACTAAATAGAGCCGATCCAAATAAGAGAGGTGTGAGGGCTTCTACCATAAAGCAGGTTTAAGTCTTTCAGGTGCGACAGGAAAAAGATCTGGTCAATGATCTAACCCTGTGTTACCTATATGTAGCATATGACAGGCAGCTACAGTATGGAAAAACTCATCCAAATTAGAGTAAGCCTACTGTAACCACTATATTATGAAAGATCCTGAATTGCTAACCTACATAGAGATTTCAATTCTTAGGTTGTGACACTGTTGTCAATGTTTGCAGCCAAAAAAGTAACAAAGTAACCCTAAGGTAAAAGCAACTGCTACTAAACAAAGAACATATGTCCTGGTTGAGTAAAAGACTTAGTAGCCACTATCCAATTGAACCAAATAGCATTGGTTGCACTCCTGCTTGAGGATTTCTACATTCAAGCTAAACTTTAGGAGTCCCTCAAGACATCTAATCTGGCGTCCCTCCTTAACTATAGCCGGATAACAACCCTACCAAGTCTTAGCCCCTCTTTATAATTGAAATCCCACAGCTAAATCAACCGTGCATAACTAGTTCATATGAAGAAATAAAATAAAGCAGAAAATTGTGATTTTTCTGTGCTGTTAATGCGCATTCGTCCGGGGCAGTAAGCCAGGGTGAATTATCAGGATGCATTATCCTACTAAAAGAGGCCACTGCCATCAAGGAACACCATTGTTATGAAGAGGTATACATAGTCTGCAACTATTTCTAGGTAGGTGGTTCGTGTCCAAGTAACATCCACGTGAATGCCAATACTTAAGTTTTCCCAGTAGAACATTGCCCAGAGCATAACACTGCCTGAGCCGGTCTGCCTTCTTCCCATAGTTATTCCTGCTGCTTCTCTTCCCCAAGTTGATGCATCTCTTCCCCAAGTAATGATGCACACGCACCCAGCCATCCTTCTGATCGAAAAGAACACATGATTCATCACACCAGGCAACCTTCTTCCATGGTTCTTCTGACCAGAAGAGCTAGTCTTTGCTCCTTGCATGCATCAATGAGACTTGGGTGTCCATGACCCTGATGCTGGGTCACCAGTTGTCCTTCCTTGCACAAATTTTTTCAGATACTAACCATGAACACCCCACAAGACTTGCCGTTTTGGTGATGCTCTGACCAAGTCGTCTAGCCATCACTATTTGGCCCATGTCAGAGTCACTCATATCTTTTCATTTGCCCATTTTTTGTGGATTTTGTCCATCCACACAAAATCCGGTGCTTAGTGAATAAACCTGCATGCTTTAGGTGAATAAGACTAAGGCAAGATGAATTTGGGAGATGGTCTGACTTGAAGTGACTATATTCAATATATCATTTGTGGAGCAGTGATAAGTTGGACGGGAAATTTACTGGAGAGGCAGTGGAAGGAGATGAGATTCAGCAGGGGAGAAATATAAAAAGGAGACAGTGGAAAATTTCTTGCTGTGTTTCAATATTTGTGCTGTAAAAGATATCCAGAAATAACACAAAACGTGCTACCTAAGTTAGAAAGATGAAGTTTTAATTCAATTATAAAAATAATTTAGTATAATGAGGATTCTTATAGTTAATATATAAAATAACACAAAGAAGAAAAAAACTATTTGTCATTTCAGTTATGTGGGCCGTTAAAGGACCACTATAGTGCCAGGAAAACAAACTTGTTTTCCTGGCACTATAGTGTTAATAGGTCCCCCCCCCACCCTCAGGGTCCCTCTCCTGCCGGGCTCTGGGGGGAGGAAGGAGTTACCTCCTTACCTTTTTCCAGTGCCAGACTCCCTCGGCGCTGGGGACTCTCCTCCGTCTTCCGCCGAATGCGCATGCGCGGCAAGAGCCGTGCGCACATTCAGTCAGTCAGTCCATAGGAAAGCATTATCAATGCTTTCCTATGGATGATGGCGTCTTCTCACTGTGAAAATCACAGTGAGAAGCGCGGAAGCGCCTCTAGCGGCTGTCAATGAGACAGCCACTAGAGGCTGGATTAACCCATATGTAAACATAGCAGTTTCTCTGAATTTAAGTTCTCTGAAACTGCTATGTTTACAGCTGCAGGGTTAACCCTAGATGGACCTGGCACCCAGACCACTTCATTGAGCTGAAGTGGTCTGGGTGCCTATAGTGGTCCTTTAACTCCATACTTCTGTATCTGGGCCTGCTAGCTTATTATATCTGTGTGCCTTTTGTTAACATGATAACTTTGTGGAGTTTTTTATTTTTCTGTTCTAATGTTTTTTTTGCCAATTTGTCAATCTCATATTTGTTTGTTTTTGCCATCTTGCTAATCCAGTATTGGAGAATTGAAAATTGAATAGCGAAAATTAGGAAAAAAAATGCACTTTTAAAAAATAATTTCCCCTGTAGTCTTAGTTTGACTATTTTACCTCCGATGTTGCAATTCTGTTCACAGTTCTCCATAAATGGTTGTTTAGCGAATGTTTTCGTAGAACCAAAATCTAAAGTCTAGTTGATTTTGTGATTGCAGGTTAGAAGAATTCTGCATTGAAAATGACTGAGCGCTTCGACTGCCATTACTGCAAGGAATCTCTCTTTGGCAAGAAATACCTGCTGAGAGAGGAGAATCCATACTGTGTCAAGTGCTATGAGAGTCTCTACTCAAATAGCTGCGAGGAATGCAAGAAGCCAATCGGCTGTGATGGCAAGGTATGCCTAGTTTCTGTCTGCTCTTGCTCAGTGATAGTTTCATCAGATCTGTCAAGTTGTCCCTGGGCACAGCTCACAGTTGTGCATAAAACTGCTGTTGTGTTGTATGCAGTATTAATGTGCTGCAAGGGGGCAATCAGAGAATAAATGAAGGCAGTCTCTTTTGGATTCCTCATTGACTAAATATTTCCTTCCTGCAGTCAATGAATTCTGCTGGCTGTGGGGCACCACTAATCATATAAAAGATATATGAAGTCATACCAGGAAAACTCAATACATGGAAGCCCTGTCTGTTGCTAATACCAACAGCCAATGCTCTAGAGCAGGTGTGCCCAAAAGGTAGATCCCCATATGTTTTAAAACTACAAATTCCATGATGCTTCGTCATTCATGAAGATGCATTGAATCTGTGGAAAGTTCAGTATCTCCATGCAGAGCATGTGCAGCACTTCCCCAGGAAGCACCTCCAGTGGCCATCTGAGGAATAGCCACTAGAGCCACTAGAAGTGTTTCTAGGCTGCAATGTAAACACTACCTTTTCTCTGAAAAGTCAGAGTTTACATGAAAAGGGCTGCAGGGACAGGCTATACTCACCAAAACAATTACAATAAGCTGTAGTTGTTCTGGTGACTATAGTGCCCCTTTAATTGAGACCACTAGTTACATTATGAACACATGCATGATAAATTAACCCCTTAAGGATGCTGTCCTTTTTGGGACAGTTTTAGAAGTTATTAAAAGTATTAAACAGTTTTTAAATTAAATAAAAGGTACTTAGATCATATATATATATATATATAAATATATATATGATTTAAGTACTTTTATATACACATACACATACATTATTAATAAACGTGTATTTTAATATTAATATATATAAATATGATGTTAATCTTGATAAAGACCGCTTGAAGGTCGAAACGTTAATTTACTTTTTTGCTCGTGGTTTAATATAAGATTTGTTTCAAACCCAGTGAGTGCTCTCATTTTTTCTGGTTATATATAATTATATATATATGTGTATGTGTATATATAACCATATATATATATATATATATATATATATATATATATATATAATAAAAAGAACCAATAAATAAATTGAAAAAAATGAAAAAATAAAATGAAAATAAATTTAAAAAAAAGATATACCAGTTTTAATTTGTTCTAACTGTATTTTGATATTAATATACATATATATGAAATTCAAAATACATTTAGAATGACGTTATAAATACATATATGTATCTATTTATATAATCTATCTATATATATAATCGATCTATATATATATATATATATATATATATAAAAATAATAACGAAAAATTATATATATATATATATACACATATATATTTAAATTCTCCAAATATATTTATATATTAATAATTACAATCTGGGGGACCTGCCCGACAACCCAGGCAGAAAGTCCAGAGAATTTGGCTTGCAAGCCCTATATTTAACCCGGTAACTTTCCAGGACACCATGAAACCTGTACATGGGGGTACTGTTTTACTCAGGAGACTTCGCTGAACACAAATATTAGTGTTTAAAAACAGTAAAACATAATACAACGATGATCTCGTCTGTAAAAATGCAGTTTTTGGCATTTTTCACACACAAACTGTACTTTTACTGACGATATAATTGTTGTGATATGTTTTACTATTTTTAAACACTAATATTTGTGTTCAGCGAAGTATCCCGAGTATAACAGTACCCCCCATGTACAGGTTTTGTGGTGTTTTTAAAAGTAGCATTCAATTTAGTTTTTTGCATTTTTCACACACAACAAATATGAACGCTAACTTTGGCCAGTGTTTGTGACTAAGTGGCTACTAAAAATGACTGGACATATCCCACCTGTAATACCTTGGGTTGCCTACTTTTGCAAATGGTATGCCATCATGGGGGTAATTCTCATTCCTGGGCTGCCATACGCTCTCAAAGGCAACATAACCAACCTGGCCAATTTCAATGTGTATAAACTGAAAAATGTAACATGCTATATTTGACCCTGTAACTTCCCAAAACACCATGAAGCATGTACATAGGGGGTACTGTTTTACACATGAGACTTTGCTGAATAAAAATATGTGTACTTTATTGCAGTAAAAGCAAACAGTATTATGACAGTCACATTTAAAATGCCATGCAGAACTAAAAATTTTTTCTTAATTTCTCATTTGTTTTATATTTTATTCATATTAAATTATGTTTAATATACAAATATTTGATGTATCATGAAAGCCCTGTTTCTCCTGAACAAAATGATATATAATAAGTGTGGGTGCACTTAATATGAAATAGACATATAGCGCAAATTCAAGGTTTTGTTTAAGTTTTGTTTTGATCACAACTTGTACAACTGCCTCAGTCCTTAAGGTGTTAATTGTGACACATCTTGAGGAGAGAAGATGGCACAGCAGATGGAAAGTGCTTAGTATATATCCATCTGTTTTCTTCCAATAGCTGTCATCAGTTATAAGACCTGTCACCTGGTTGGATCTTTACAGAAAATAGAGCCCCCTCTCCAAGTGTCATATATGCTGTTTATTTTGGGTTGGAGCTGTTTATTGGATTTCATAATAACATAAGCTAAAGGCAAACCTCCAGCCTCTCTGGAACCTTTTCCAGAATTTCAACAAACTGATAAAGTTGGAAATGTGGTTTGGATTGAGATCAACATTCATTTTATATAACCGAGAAGATCATCGTTTATGTAAAGCTCTCTAGTCCTTGGATCAGTATGAACAAATACAATTGAGTAGCAGGACAAATAATGAAGGACATTTTTTTGCCTTATTTATTAAGACAAAAAATTGACAAATATATACAATGCAGTCTCCTATGAAAACAAGGACGCACATGGATACAATAACAAGTGGAAGTAAATTATCATGAATCAAAGTCAGCAATGAAATATTTTAGAATTTTGTTCTGTTTTACATCAATTTCACAGCTTGGATGCTTTTATGCTATGCTTTTCTCAGGAGAAAAAAACAGCATCATTTTAAAGAATACAGACAGAGGAATTTTTATCATAGCTGTTTGTAACGGAGAAGGAACATTTCATTGCCCTTGGTGAAAGCAAGCACTAAATAACAATCTATAGCTGTGTCACATTCTTCAACTGGGGACATGGAGATCCTCGAGAAACTGGAAAGAATTCAGCACATCTCAGGAAAACATTTAGTATTTTTTTTTTCAAACAAAGCTTTTATGCTCAAATTTATCAGTTTGTTTATTAACATAGTCAGCATGATTTACAAAATTCTATACTTTTTCAATTCTTTAGTTTTCAATTGGTTAAGCAATTAGCCATGCAGTAGTAGTGGGAAACAATGCGTATTATACCCAACTAACTTGCCAAGTCTAGGACACACAATCGGCAACAATATCTTGTGCAATTCAAGTCTTACCCCTGTTCTTTTTTTTGGTTTTATTGTAGGTATTGGGGCTGATGTGTATTATGGTCACTGCTGCTGTCCAGGAATAGTGGGAGTTTGAGTGCAGGAGTTATTTTTGTGTATTTGTATTTACCCCTGTTCTTGATCGCACTTAGAATACATTTAAAACAACAGGAGAGACATTCCTCCCAGACACATTCCAGGCTATCATGAGTTTTTGTGTTCCTCTCACATTGCCCATGTTTTCGTGAAGGATTTCATTGAATTGTGAACCATAGCCGTTAATTTGCCCATTAGAAAGATATTGCCTATCCTACGGTTAACCTCTTTCATATTCTGGACCTTTTGTATTCATCCAACCCGACACCAGAACTCTTCTGGCTGCCAATGTGATCTTATTCACCAATTTTTGAAAATGCTTAGATAAATGGTCAATAGGTTTGGACAAGAGGAACCCTAAAGGTCTAAGCCAGAAGGCCTATGAAAGATCTAATATAATATTGCTCTGATAATTTCCTACTACTTGCGTATCCGAGGACAATCCCACCAATACCTCATGTGGTAAAGGTCTCAAGAGTTCACGCACAATATCGTGCAGAACCCCCTCTCCTGCTTTCTCTGGTAGGCCTCTGAGAAACGGGTTGTTCCTGCACGATCTGTTTGCTTAATCTTCCATTCCAGTTCTAGCTCTAGTAAGCATGTGTGAAGTGCCATAGAGTAGTCCACGGCCTCATTATGAGCTTCTACCCTGTGCTCCGCTCCTATCCACAGCTTTGCTGTGCTCTGGCCCAAAGCCAGTGGCGTACTAAGGGGGGGGTCCGCCCCGGGTGCCACCAGGGTGGGGGTGCCTTGGGAGGGGGCACCACCAGGAGCGCCAGCCCCCCTCATGCTTCAGCTGCCCGAGCACTCTGTAGAGAGCCTCAGGCGGCTGCAGCTTTGCCCACCCCGGGTGCAGCCTGAGGAGAGGGGCTGACAGGAGGGAGCGCTCAGCGCGCCCTCCTGTCACTCCCTCACTGTAGCGTGGCCGAGTTCTGTATCATGGTCCACGGGTACAGGGAAGTGTTCACTTCCTTTTAGTCCGGCCGGGTACAGGAAACAAAAGCTCCCTGTACCCGTGGACCATGATACAGAGCTCGGCCACGCTACAACAGAGGTGGGGGGGATAAAGAAAGATTGGGAGGGGGGATAAGGAAATTGGGAGGGGATAAATAAATATTGGGGAGATAAAGAAAGATTGGGAGAGGGGATAAGAAATTGGGAGGGAGATAAATAAAGATTGGGAGGGGGGGAGATAAATAAAGATTGGTGGGATAATGAAAGATTGGGAGGGATAAATAAAGATTGGGGGCTAAATAAAGATTGGGAGGGGGGAGAAGGAAATTGGAGAGGGGGGATATAGAAAGATTGGGAGGGGGGATAAAGAAAGAAATTGGGTGGGGAGAAGGAAATTGGAGAGTGGGGATAAAAGAAATTGGGAAGGGGAGAAGGAAAAGAGAAAGGAAATTGGAGAGGGGGAGAAGGAAATTGGAGAGGGGGGATAAAGAAAGATTGGGAGGGGGGATAAGGAAATAAATTGGAGGGGGGATAAAGAAAGAAATTGGGAGAGGGAGAAGGAAATTGGAGGGGGGGGAGAAGGAAATTGAAGGGCGGGAGAGATTCACATTCATCACACACAATGCACCCCTTGCACACAGAAAAACACACAATGCATTACACACACAAACACACATACACAAGCAATGCAACCGTTTCACACAATGCATCCCTTACACACACAGAAACACACAATGCATTCATTACACACACTCAATGCATCCCGTACATACACAGAAACATACCTTGCAGACCTTACACATACAAACACAGATTCACACAATGCATTCCTTACACACATATCAGGACATAGCCTACACACTCCACCCCCTGTGAACAAACTCATTGGTGGAACATGAAGGTGGACCCTGGGACCCAGACCTTGAGCTGTGTAGAGGGTCCCCCAAAAAATGGAGCTGCTTCCCGTTCTCCCAGAACATTGATTTTTGTGACCACAGTTACAAACCGCCTCCAGAGAGCCTGTTCTACACCAGACCAGTGGAGCCAGACTGCAGCTAGAGCCCATCATCATCCTCATCTGGTTGTAAGTAGGCAATCTAGTATATTATTCGTGGCACTAATCTCTAATAAGAAACACTATAATCCCCAGAACCACCACTGCAGCTTAATATAGTGGTTCTGGTGTCTATAACCGGTCCCTGCAGGCCTTTTAATGTAAACACGGCGGCACTGCAGCACTGGAGTTAGATAACATGGCAATTCATATGGGTGGGGCATTGTGATGTCACATGGAGGGGGCGTCAAACTTTACTTTTGCCTAGGGCGGCAAAAATCCTTGCACCGGCCCTGGCTGGAGGGGGCTGTGTGAGCTGTGGCCGCACAGTGCCCCATGGTAGTTATTGTGCCGTGCGGCCAGTACAGCTCACACAAGCAAACAGCTGATAAACTGGCCACACGGAGGAAAAGTGGGGCGGAGCTAAGCAAAATCGGAGGCGGAGCCAAACTGGCGCTGGGGCCGGGTGCCAAATGCTCTAGGTACGCCCCTGCCCAAAGCCCTTAGAGCTCTTTTATATTTATTTTGTTAAGTAGTTCCCTTATCTGATGTCGATTATACTCTGTATCATATCCTCACTAAATCCCCCAGTTGTGCCTAGATCCATTCTTTCTCTCTTAATTTTTGTGTTGCCGCAATTCTGAAATTTTGGATGCTTTTGAATTGTCGAATTTGGGAGGAAATTCAGTTGGCTCTGAAATGAATTGCACAAGTCTACAATTAATTACATGACCTATTTTTGTGTCACCTGCAAACACTATTATATGACATTTGATGCCCTCTGCAAGATCATTAACAGATTAAAGATAAGTGAATCCAGCACAGAACCCTAAATGACTCCACTTGCAACTTTTGTCCAACTAAAATGTTCTACAACTATTTTCTGCACTCTGTCTATAAGCCAGTATTTAATCCAAAAACAATAATTCATATTCTTGGAGTTCCGTGGTGCAATTCTTTTATTCAGCATTAAACTATTTTTTTAAATGCTAAAAGTCTCCAGAAGCACCTCTGTGCTGCTTGGGCTAATGAGGGAGAAGTAGCCTGATCAGCAATGTGGGGCTGTGATTGGCTCAGAGTTTCAGACGCTCAGATTATAACAGCTAATTTAGCTATATTATTTAGTTGTATTTAGTTGTAACAGTTCTTATTTGTACTTTCTTTGCTTTAACTGAGTAATTAGGAATCATTAGTAAAATTCACTTCTACATTTCAACAGCTGGGCAGCGGGCACTGGATTTTTTGGGGAGGGGTTTGAGTGAGGCACCTGGACATTCAGGCCCTGATCATTGGCACCCATTAACGTTTTGATAATCATCATACAATAGACTGTAATTTACCCAGTAGGTTATTAATTGCATTTCACCATATTCACGAGCCATGATTCTTTGACAGAATTCAGGCAACTTTACACATTCTCTATATCTTTGATGCATGTGCCAATGCTCTAAACCAGCGGTTCCCAAACTGTGCCATTGCGCCCTGGGGCGCCGCGACGTGCACACAGGGGTGCCGCGGAATGTTTCCCCAGTGCTATGATTATAGCACTGGGAAAACCTTACTGCTGAACAGGGCCGCGGTCAGGTGTCAGGGTCCTTTAAGACTGCGACTGGACCACTGTATTGTCGTCTGACTGGGAGGAAGTTACAGCCTGTCACTTCCTCCCAGCATCCTGCAGGGGGACATCGCGGGAGGGAGAGGGAGGCAGCTGCAGCTAAGGGGAGAGGAGCATTAAGAGCTCCAGATGCCTCACTCCCACCAGCAGTAGGACTCCTGGCACATAAGGTAAGCTGACAGGAGGGTGGCTGGAGATATAAAAATACAATCACTTGTATGTATGTGAGTGTGTGTATGAGTTTGAGTGTGTGTGAGTATGAGTGTGTGTGTGTGTGCGTGAGTGAGCATGTGTGTTTGTGTATGTGTGTGTCAAGGTGTGCATCTGTGTGTGTGTGTGTGTGCATATATTCAGTGTGCTTCCGTGTCTGTGCACACATCTGTGTATGTGCATCTGTGTGTCAGGGAGTGTGTTTTTATATCCGTGTGTGTATCTGTGTCAGGGTGTAGGCATTTATCAAGGTTTGTGTGTGTTAGGATTCATGTGTATATATATATGTCGGTGTGTATCTATGTGTGTGTATGTGTCTGTTTGTATATGTGTGTGTATGTGTCTGTTTGTATCTATATGTGGGTATGTGTCGGTGTCTACATGAATATGTGTGTGTCAGTGTATTTATATGCATGTGTGTGTTAATGTGCATGAATATCTGTGTAAGTATGTATGTATGTATGTGGTAGTGTATGTGCATCCAAGCAGTCAAACACCAGCACAGCATACAAGCACACTCCTGCAATCTAACTCAAATATTACATACACACACACACATGCATTCAAACAAAAAAAATATACAAACACACCCCTTCACTCAAACACAAACTTCACATACAAACACAGCCCTGTATTAAAATTAAAACTCAATAACTATATACAAGCACCCCTTCAAACACCAACACTGTACATTCCATATAGCGCCAGTAAATGCCGCAGTGCTGTACAAATATGCAACCTAGAAATTTTGACTTGGAGTGCCTTGGAAAAATACTGAAATATTAAGGGCGCTTGGAACCTAAAAAGTTTTGGAACCACATGGTCCTTATCTCTACTGCTGAATCTGTAATGTAATCCAAAATTATAACAATGTAAAAAACTGTATTGCAGGATTAATCCTTAGAGGTTGAACTATGGATCACTAAAATAAACTTCCTTGAAATACTATATGATATTTGGAACAAAGTTTACACAAATTGAACCCTAACTCATACTATAACTTGGCTACAGTCATTAATGTAAACATTTTGGTATATAGTTGTTTCCAGTATTGAAAAGCTATCATCCACAACTAATCTCAGACTAATCTCCTGGGTAAATCTGAGTTAGCTTGATTTTACAAATAATTTAAAGGAACACTTTAGGGTCAGGAACACAAACATGTATTCTTGACCCTATAGTGTTCAAACCACCATTTAGCCAGCCTGGCCTCTCTAAATATAGTAAAAATCCAACTTGTATTACAGTCTGCTTCAAGCTCTGGCCCTGATCTTCCTGCTTGGTTAACATCATCAGAAGTGTTATTCAAAGCCAAACACAATGTTTTCTCTTAGGAAAGTACTGGATTGACTGTGACTGTCAAGGAGGCCAACCAGAGGCGGAGCCAGCACAAGTCAAACACAGCCCTGATCAATTAGCATCTCCTCATAGAGATGCATTGAATCAATGAATCTCTATGAGGAAAGGTCAGTTTTTCCATGCAAAGGGTGGAGACCCTGAATGACAGTCCCACTGTGCAGCACTGCCCCAGGAAGCACCTCTAGCAGCCGTCTGAGGAGTGGCCAGTGGAGGTGTCCCTAGGCTGTAATGTAAACATTGCATTTTCTCTGAAAATACAGTGTTTACTGCAAAAAGCCTGAAAGGAATGATGCAATAAGCTGTAGTTGTTCTGGTGACAATAGTGTCCTTTTAATATAAATCTAGACTATGGAGATATAGAATATTAATTTATGCATTTATGTCTCTTTCCCTGATTCAGTCCCCAGCTTCAATAAGAAAGCCTTCAGATTGGGCGCCAGTGATAGGCTGAGGGAATCCGATGGCACTCTTAACATATGACTAGTAGTAAAATTTAATGAAAAAGGTATGCAATTTTGCCCAAATTAATATTGTATGCTTATATTTGAAATATTGATTTCTTTATCTGCCTCCTTAAATCTTTACCAATCTGGTAACAATTTTAGTCAGCTCAAGATGGATTAGGTGGTGTATCATATTTTTTCATTTTTTGCAATCACTTATTTATTGGTTAAACAAGGGACATTCTGTTTAGGATTACATATATTGTTTATTTCTCATCCCAACTACTGCTTCACGAGAACGTGGTCTTCTTTAACCCCGTAGTGACCAAACCGCTTTTTCAATTTTCTTACCGTTTGGGACCAGGGCTGTTTTCACATTTCTATGGTGTTTGTGTTTAGGTGTAATTTTCCTCTAACTTATTTACTGTACCCACACATATTATTACCGTTTTTCTCGCCATTAAATGGTCTTTCTAACGATACCATTTTTTAAATCATATTATATAATATAATTTACTATAAAAAAATTATAAAATATGATGAAATTATTTTTAAAAAAACACACTTATTCTAACTTTGACCCCCAGAATCTGTTACGCATCTACAACCGCCAAAAAACACCTGTGCTAAATAGTTTCACATTTTTTCCCCCGAGTTTAGAAATGCCCAATGTCCCTGAATAACCCTTTACATGTATACATTTTCAAAAAGAAGACAATCTAAGGTATTAAACTTGGGGTATTTTGACTCTTTTCATGCAACCATTTTACCACCAATCTATGCCAAATTAAAAAATAAATAATAATAATTGGTGATTTTTTTTTAACACACATAGCAATTTAAGAATACATGTACTGAGAACTTTAAGGGTTACTGCAAAAGAACAACCAAATATGTGTCCAGTAACATCTCCTGAGTACAGTGATACCACCCATGTATAGGTGTGTCGGGTTCTCTGGGGGGTAATAGACCTTATTTGGAGGGTGCGCATTCCAGTTTTCCAACTTGGAATTTTTACAGCTGGTCATCATGCACCCATGTGCTATTTGGGACATTTTTAAAGCCGGTCAATTTAGCCCCAGCAAAATAATTTTTTTTTTTTAAAGTAGACATCTTGGGGTATTCAATATGGGGTATGTCTAGTCTTTTTTAGTAGCCACTTAGTCACAAACACTGGCCAAAGTAATCATTTATATTTGTTTGTGTGTGAAAAATGCAAAAAAAAATTATGAATGCTAACTTTGGCCAGTGTTTGTTACTAAGTGGCTACTAAAAAAGACTGAACATACCCCATTTGCAATACCTTGAGTTGTCTTCTTTTGCAAATGGTATGCCATCGTAGGGGTAATTCTCATTCCTTGGCTACCATACGCTCTCAAAGGCAACATAACCAATCTGACAAATTCCAATGGAAAAAAAACTTTAAAATCAAGCGTTATATTTGACCCTGTAACTTTCAAAAACACTATAAAACCTGTACACGGGGGGTAATGTTATAATCGGGAGACTTTGCTGAATACAAATATTAGGATTTCAAAACAGTAAAACGTATAACAACAATGATATCATTAGTGAAAGTGCAGTTTGTGTGTGAAAAATGCAGAAAAAATGAATTTCACTGACAATATCATTGCTATGATATGTTTTGCTGTTTTGAAACACTAATATTTGTGTTAAGCGAAGTCTACCAAGTAGAACAGTACTCCCCCATGTACAGATTTTAGGATGTCTTGGAAAGTTACAGGGTTAAATACAGTGCTAGCAAATTAAATTCTCTGGACTTTTGGCCTGGGTTGTCAGGCAGGTCCCACAAATTGCAATCAATAAAATTACTTAATTATGTAAAAATATTACATAAACATGCACGTAGAATTTAAACATATATACATATTTATATATTTGAAGTCTACGTATATTTATGAAATTATATATGTTATTATGTATATGGACATATGCATATTTCGTATTATTTGTATTTATTTATATAAACATATATATATATATATAATTTAATTCTAAGTGTATTTTGATATATATATATATATATATATATTAATATCAAAATAAAGTTAGAATAAAATTACACATATATATATATATACACTTTTTTAAACATTTTTCAATTTTTTAATTTTTTTTATTTATTTTTAATTATTTATTTTTTATATTAATATATATATATATATTTATATATATATATATATATACAATATATATATAGTTATTATATATATTTATATATATATATATGTGAGTAATTTTACTCTAAGTGTAAAAAATACACTTAGTATGAAGTTATATATGATATATATATACAAATTATATATAGATATAATATATGTATATATATCTCATATATAGGAATATAAAAAAAAATACCGGCACTCTAGGCTTTGTTCATCCGATTTATTTTTGGTAAATCCAAAAATGTCAACATTTCAGCTCCCGATCAGAGCTTTCATCAGGACACATGAAATGGCATACATTAAAATGACAAACATATAAAGGACATGTTAACCAATACTCACTCACCTAATCAGCTGTATCACATCACCCCTGATGCTTGGCATGCTCTCAGCGCATATGCGCATGTCTGCCTTTCGTCAAACCACTCCCCCGTCAAGGAGTAGCTGTGGCCAATCGTTTACCTGCGGCTACGTCACAGTCCCATGGCAACCGTTTGTTACAACCTCCATCTCGGCCGCCGCTGTGTAAACAACAGCCGCAGGGCCAGGTGTGACCTGGTACGAACTCAGATCTCCCCCCCCCCCTGGACTGGCGGTGGTTATCCTGTTCCCCACTGAGGTTCACAGACCCCCGAGCAGCACACCACCCGCGTACTCGAGGCCCACAAAGCAAAATCAACATGGCTGCTGGCCATGACACGCTGCACTCTCGTCTGAGCCTGGGTGATAAAGAGTGGCTGGACTCATTCAACAACAGATTTGAGGCTGTATGCCAGAGGTTTTGGCAACGTCTGGCTGACCGATCACGGGTGCTATCACCTCCTGCTGCCTCACAGCATTCCAATCATATGCTGGGAACTATCTCCGCTACACAGCCTGAAGTCTGCCAGCAGCATGGCTTGCACCTACCCATGCAGCACAAGGGAGTGGTGGGGCTGGACTTTCTGCCCGCTCTTCTTCCAAATGGTGGGCTCAACTGGAAATAACCCCCCACTGCCCATACACCCAGAGGTCCCACCAGGAACCGGTAACCCCATGGGCCCACAACCCTGATAAAGGGACAAGCAACTGCTCCCACCCAGGCCTTGGGCCGAAGACACAAGTTGCAGATGCAGAGCCCCCATGGTCCCACACCCTGGCAGCGTGAATTTGTCAATAGCCCTAACAGACTGGGAAACTGGAAGGGTGAGGTGAGAGCGGAGGCTCCATTCATGCCCTGGCATGGACTATCACAGAGTCTGAAGGGACTCACACTCCAGGGAACAGGCTGAGAGCCAAAGCACTCCGGAAAGAGGTCGCACCAAAAGAATGGGACCCAGACTCAACAGCGAACATAAGTTACTAAATGTTTTGGTTTATTTAGGCCTGTTGCCCTCTAATCTTATTTTCCTCTGTTACCAATATGACGCTGTTATGCCACTATAATGCCCTCTAACTAAGCTCTCTAATAAGGCTATTAAGGCATGTAAGCTTACCCAAGGGCCACCTATCGCCCTAAAGGGCCCCAGTGGTTTAAACCTGCACCACATCTTAGAATGACCATTGACGTAGTCTCACTACTCACAATTTACTTATGCTTACCACTACTAATCCCTGTGCCTCACAATCTCTGGGATGTGTATAATCTGCCTGTATTTTATTTACCTTGGTCTAGATAGACTCTCCTGCGTCACCAGTGTTATTGCAAATATATATTATAAAATTAAAACAGGACCGATCTTGCTAAATCTCATATTAATATAAAATTGTGTAAGTATTAACATGTGCCCTACTATTACAAATGTTTTTGAAAATGCATGTGGATTGCCTTTGGGGTACCACAAGCGCGTTGTATTATCTATATGCACTGCAAAAATAAAGAAGAAAAAAAGAAAAAAAGAAAACACAATAAAAAGAAAATTGGTACAGCTTAGGTGACCAAAAGGCTTTTATTGCTAAAATACACAATTTAAAACCATAACGCGTTTAACCATATTTGGCTTCTTCAAATTGAGTAAAAACAACAACCTGGCAGAGTACAATAAGATTAAAATTGGTGCCTAAAATTTAATTAGCCAATGAGAAAATAGAATTTAAGAATAATGTCAAACATGAATTAAACTCATACATTTAGAATAGTACAAGAATACATAGTAGTATAGCTTTAATTCTCATCCAAAACAAGCTTTGGATGTCTTTAAATTTAATAATAACAGTGAGACATGTGACCTATGAGTCACACTAGTCCTAGGAATTATGGGTGGTGTAGGGTAAAGTGACGGGTTGACGTCCGCCCATAATTCTAACAAGCCAGCCGCACACAGAATCTGTGCGGTCGGCTGAAAGGAAAAGGTGAAAACGCAATCAGTTCTCGTACAGCTGATCGCGTGTAGTTCACGATGTGTGCCGGCCGCATACTGAGCATGTACGGCCGGCTCAGGGGGATGAATGGCAAAACGCCATGTAGTGATTGGCGGCTTATAGCCGCAACCACATTCTGGAATACTGACATATTGTGGTTGGCGGCATATAGCCGCAACCTGCAACTAATAGGAGTAGTGGGAAAGAGGGGAGGGGGATTGGGTTGGACATTGGGCAGGTTACATATAAGTATATAGGTACTTATAATAAAACACATACTAAACACATTTTTTGATGTATGAATACATCCAATAAAACATAGTGAAAAATATCAATAATGAAATGAACAGCCTAGTGGTAACATATAGTAATTACAAGAATAGAAGTACAGGTATAAATAAATAATAAATAATAATTAAAAAATAAAAATGCATAAAATTATATAAAATTGAACAAGTCGAAGTTTACATTTAGACCCTGGGTGGTTAATGTTTTTAGGTTAAATACCCATTCCATCTCTGTTTTACCTAAAATGTTTTGTAATTTGCCACCTCTCCAGGGGGTGACACATTTTTTAAATACCAATAAATTTGAGTAATCTTGTTTCGTTATTATGTATACGAAAGTGTTTTGAGACTGAGTGATTTAAGTATCCCTTTCTTATATTTTTACAGTGTACACTCAGTCTGGTCTTAAGGCTTCTTGTCATCATGCCTACATACTCGAGGCCACAGGGGCAGTCAAGTAGATAAATTACGTTTTTACTGTTACAGCTAATAACATCTTTAATAGGATATGTTTGATTTGTTATGTTTGATTTGAATAAAGTGGTCTTTGGTGGGATAGATGGGTCGGTATTTTTACCGACGATACATCTTTTACATTTATGGAAACCACTGGCATTTGGGAAAAAGGAGGAAGGAATAATAGCGGATTTGTCTTTTTTTGTAAAATTTCTGATTAAAATGGACTTAAAATTTGGGGCCCCTCTAAAAACAATATTGGGTCTATCTGGTATAATATTACTAAGTATATCATATTGTTTTAAAAGATGCCAGTGTTTTTTAATTATTCTCTTCAGGTGGACACTTTTGTTATTAAAATAAAAAATAACAGGTAAAAATATATTATTGGTATTTGTTTTATCCTTATATGTTAAAAGGTCAGTTCTTTCTTTTTTCTTAATGATTGCTATAATGTTTTTAAGATCAATAGATGGGTAATTTTTTTCAATAAATTTTTCTTTTAAGAGTTCAGCTTGTTTGTCAAAATCTTGTAACTGAGAGCAATTTCTACGGAAACACAAATTGACTCTTTGTAGCGCTTTCTAACGACGGTTTATAGTGACAGCTAGATTTTACTATTGCAGTGTTGACACATACTTTTTAAAAAAAGGTTTTTGTATGAATTTGGTTGTCCTGAATAAAAATGTTTAGGTCTAAAAAATTAATGGATGTTTGCTAAATTCGTGAGATAAAATAATGCCCCTATTATTGTCATTTAAATAATTGATAAAAGTAATAAGTGGATCTTCTGTGCCCACCCATAAGTCACCAGGTTTGCCTGCCAAGCATGCCCACCCAATATGGCACCAGACTCCCAATCAGCTATAAATAAATAGGTTGGGGCGAACTTGGTCCCCATCGCTGTTCCTTTTTTTTTTGGAGATAAAGAGTTGAGAAACCAAAAGTAGTTGTTGTTAAAAATAATGTTGATACCTTCTAGTATAAAATTGATTTGGGTTTTTGGGATTCTATTTTCTTAAGTTAAAATATTTTTTACTGCCTGACATCCTATGTGATGGGGAATGATAGTGTAAAGGGACTGTACATCACATGTAACTAAAATAAAATTGGGTTGCCAGTTAAAATTGTTTCAAAAACTTAATAATGTCATTGAATCTTTGAGGTAGGATTTCATTCGTTTCACAGAGGGTTGGAGGTGTATATCAATATATTCAGATAGATTAGATAGGAGGGAGCCAATACCTGACACAATTTGTCGGCCTGGAGGATTATTCTCATTTTTGTGTATTTTTGGCAGGAGGTATATAACAGGATTTTTTGGGTGTTTTTCATTAAGATAGTTAAATTCTTGCTTGTTTAGAATACCGGCATCTAGACCTTTTTTAAAAAAAAATGAAAATAGATCACTTTGTGTTGGGTCAGAAGGTAATTCTACATATGTTTCAATATCTTTCAGTTGCCTATGAGCTTCTGCTATATCCATAGTACATGGTAACATTACAATACCCCCTCCTTTTTTGGCGGGTTTGATCACTATATCTTTGTCTTCTTGTAACTGTTTAAGTGCATTGCGTTCAGCGTGAGTAAGATTATGTGGGTCATATTTACTTTTATTGATCTTTTCAAAATCATTTAAAACAAGTTTTTCAAACATAATCAAGGGGGCAGATTTAAAATGGGAGGATAAAATTTCAACAGCAAATAAGGAAGATTCTATAAACGAGAATTGGTATAAAATAGAACAGAACCTGACTTCGGGAGATAGGGATTATAAAACCCTTTAATGGTCCATAGATAAAGAAACAAATCAATATATGAAAAACTCTAAATCGCTGATAGTTCAACAAATCTTTCCCACCTGGTCTCAATTTAAAAAAAATAAAAAATAAAATAGGTCTAAAAATGAAGATAATTCCTGGTATAAATTTAAATATACTATCAAACTTAATGACAGATATAAATCTGGAAATATGGACCCTTAAGGGTATGAAAAATTTATCTAACCTCCTGACAGGAAATACATTAAAATCTTTTGAACAACTTCAAACTGAATACGGTATACCATCTACCGAATGGTTTAATTATATAAGGGTAATATCTTTTTTAAAAAACTTTCTTGAGATTTAATCCTCTGGAACCACCAGTTAAGCTTCTTTCAGAAATATATGAGCAACAGACTATACTCATTTAGCCAATAAATGTCAAAAACTAATTTACAAGGCTCAGATTAAATCAATTCCCTCGGCAATTACTAAATGGAATTATGATTTGAAAATAGATACAACTATGAAAGAATGGAACAACTCCCTCAACACATTATATAAAGCTTGCCACTGCTTAAATATACATGAAATTCATTACAAGATACTAAATAGATGGTACAGAACTCCTAAAAAAATAGCAAAAATGTATCTTACAGCTTCCCCCAATTGTTGGAGATGCATTTAATCAATTGCAGATTTTAAACACATTTGGTGTGACTGCCCGATAATTAGACCCCTCTGGGAGATGACAAACCAATATTTATCAACCTTATTGGAAACAAAGTTCAAACTGACTCCAAATATGGTTTTATTACATATAGACATGGGGTTGATTAATAAAGAATCTAGACCAATTATTTTTCACATCTTAAGGGCCGTTAAAACGTCAGTAGCCAGAAACTGGAAGTCTTCCAGGGTAGATAGCTGGTCCAAGATTCACTCTCAAAGTATTTTTCAGTGCAAAATGGAATGGGCTATTACTAACTTTGCTCCAAAGAAGGGCCACCAAAATGGAATGGGCTATTACTAACCATTGCTCCAAAGAAGGGCCACTTTTAGTCGAACAATTCCTTTCCAAATTGGGAGATTACGTCAAGCCCCTCGTCAAATTTTCTTTTCTTTTTTTTGGGACACTGCGAACCAAACAAATGTCTGTCTAGGTTAGTCTGTATGTATATTTGGTTGTTAAGTAAGACTGCAGCAACACAGGATAGTTAAAATTGGGAGATAGGAAGATATATATACATAAAAGAAAAAGAGATGAAAATAAAACAAATGATGATTTGGTATTTGATAATGTCAACCCTGACGTATACAAAGTATGAAATAACAAATACCATATTCTGATGTGAAGAGAAAAAAAGAAAAAAAAAGTTTAAAAAATGTTGATTTCGCTTTCAGAGTAGTATTGATGGTCTGCTGTTCATCTTGTATGATGGGGGAAGGTAAAAGTTCTTATTCTTTTTTATTATCATTTAAAAAATCTCTTTAACCCCTTAAGGACACATGACATGTGTGACATGTCATGATTCCCTTTTATTCCAGAAGTTTGGTCCTTAAGGGGTTAAAGTGGCTTTGTGAACAAATTTGTTAATATTTAAAAAGGCTTCAAAAGGTTTAAAAGAATTAGTAGGAGCAAATTTCAGGCCTTTGTTAAGACCTGATACTTGGGTGGCAGATAAAATTTTATTAGGTTAAAAATGCCACAGGGTTTGTCATTGGAGGTGTTTATTGTCTTTCTAATCTCTCTCTTTTGTGCTCGTCTGCCACTGTGTTTGCCTCTGGGGTTAAAGTATTTTTTTTTGGCCGTAATGGGTATGGTGTTTGGGCTAGTGGGTTGGGGTGAGTGCAAAATCTCTAAAAAAATGCTGGTCAGTGCCTGCTAGCCAGCCTCCACATTAATAAAGTTAAAAAAAAAAAGCCTAGGGTCAGGGCCGGCGCACACAGGATTTTTTTCCTGGTGGGCTACTTGCCCCTGTCTGGGGCCGCAGCGCTGGGTGAGTGGCTCATGCGCCGTTCCCATCTCCGGACCGATCCTCAAGGCGCCCGAAGGTGGGGGCACCGAGAGGAGCCCTGTCACATCTGGCCACCTCAGGGTGCCCCCAAAGCAGTGCTAGGTAAGGCAGAGCAGGCACATGCTTACCTTGATGGCAGGTGCCTGCTCTGCCAACATATGCCAGTGACCTGAGGACAGGGTGATGGAGAAGGCATGCGGCGAGGGAGGCTGTTCTTGCAAGCACTTACTCCTCCCTTGCGCGCCCTCTGTGATGTTGGGAGCCAGAATATGACGTAATTCAGGCCCAGGCATATTAAACAGCGTGGATGGACTTCAAAAAGTAAAATTGTGTGAGTCTGTGTGTTTGTGTGTCTGTCAGTGAGTGTGTGTGTCTGTCAGTGAGTGTCCGCCTGTGTGTGTGTCTGTCAGTGAGTGAGTGTAAGTCTGTCATTGAATGTCTGTGTGTGTGTTTGTGTGTGTGTCTGTCAGTGAGTGTGTGTTTGTGTGTCTGTCAGTGAGTGAGTGTATGTCTGTCAGTAACTGTGTGTGCGTCAGTAAGTGAGTGTATGTCTGTTAGTGAGTTTCTGTTTGTGTGTGTGTGTCAGTGAGTGAATGTGTGTCTGTCAGTGAATGTGTTTGTCTGCCAGTGTGGGTCTGTCAGGGAGTGAGTTACATGAGGGGGCGGCAAAATGGATCTTTGCCTAGGGCGGCAGAAATCCTTTCAAAAAGACCATGTAGCAGGGGAGGCAATGGCGTACATACCGCGGTCGTGGACCCCTGCGACCGGGTGCCCACCGCCATGTGTTGCTGTTAGGACCACCCGATGGAAATTAATATCATCAGAGTGGGCCCTGTAACAGCGCGACCGGGCCCCCTCTGATGTCAGACGGTGGGAGGAAGTGACTGCCCTGGTCACTCCTCCCAGCAACCACCAGGAGCCGCGCAGGAGGAAGGAGAGGGAGTCAGAGTGGGAACTCTGACTCCCATCAACCTGGGCCACTGGACCCCAGGGAAGTCACCCTCCTGTACCTAAAAGGTAGGGTGACTAAAATATTTTGCATGTGTGTGTTTTTGTATGTGTGTGTTTGTGTCTGTGTGTTTGTCTCTGTGTGTGTGTGTCTGTCTCTGTGTGTGTCTATGTGTGCATCTGTGTGTGTGTGTGTGTGTGTGTATGTGTGTCTGTATGTCTGTATACATGTGTGTCTGCGTGTGTGTCTATGTATGTGTCAGTATCTGTGTCTGTATGCATGTGTGTCTGTGTGTGTGTCTATGTGTGTGCCTGTATGTGTCTGTTTGTGTATGTGTGTCTGTATGTGTGTCTATGTATGTATGTGTGTGTGTGTCTATGTATGTGTCAGTATCTGTGTGTGTGTGCGTCTGTATGTATGTGCCTGTCTGTATGTATGTGCCTGTATGTATGTATGTGTGTGTGTCTATCTGTATGTTTGTATGTATGTGTGTCTGTAAGTATGTATGTGTGTCTGTGTGTATCTCTGTGTGTGTCTGTATGGGGTGGTGGGGGGGCCTATGGATCAGTTTTGCACCGTGATATAATGGATTGTGACGCCACTGCGGGGAGGACACCCAGTAAGAGTCCAACTATGATTCACATTAGAGCTTAGTGTCTATATTGGCTCTCTTACTTGTGATTCTCCCGTTGTCTGTGACTATTAGTCCATTTAGTTCCATTTTGATTTATATTATTGTGATTTATAAAATTGTGATTTATAAAGCGCCAACAAATTTCGCAGCAATGTACAATTTCTGTTGTCCTACATTTTTTCCAGTTTTAGACGTTTATGATAAGTATATTTTTAGTGCTCCACTTTTTTTTTCTGGTTGATTGATGCAAATTCGCTTGGCCTGACCGTATTCCAACTGAAAGTGGTTTTCGTAAATATAAGAATTGCCATTACACTTGGAAATCAGCCAAAATCCAGTGTTTAGTAAGTAACCCTGTATATGTTCTGAGATGTTCATCAAGTCTAAAAATCTAGGTAGCCAAGATACATCCCCAATGCTTGGGCCTTCTAGAAAGAATTGAGGTCCTGTGATACTAACTGCACACAGGTGAACGATATTATATACATTTTATGATTTTTAAAGGCAGGTGGGTACAGTTTGCATTATATAGTTACAGCAAAGTGGCAGCACACTTGTGCAAATAAGACTCTTAGGGTATTTTTTTGTAATGTAATTTGTTATGTAATATAGATGTGCTTACACAATACATTTTTTGTGTGGATCAGAGACAGTATTCTCATTGGATTTTAATTTAAAATTGTAATTCAATAAAATGTGGAAAAGTCCAAGTGAAGCAGATCCTGTTTATCAAGGACTTTGTTAGCGTATGAGTCAAAGAATTCACAGTGGGCTGTTGGCCAAAGGAACCATTTCTTTGCTGAATCAATCCAGTGAATTGTAGCTACATGTGGTATTAATCATACATTTGGCACAACACTACTATGTTATATATAATCATCTGTAGTTTTTGTTTGCAAAAGAAGTGAGCAGTTTACAAAGCTTGCATGCTTTGTGGCTAAAAGATCTGGCACAAATTAGTAAAAAATTTTGTTAATGTAGAAGTCCATGTTTTTTGTATGTTCTTTCAAACTTATTATGCAATTTTACATCCCCGAGGTTAAAAATGGCATTTGCTAAGGAATTGTGCTTAAAGAAACCTGTAATCCACAAACATCTCACCCCCCATTTACACACACACACCCCCTCTTCTCTCCTAATGTACTCCCCTCCCCTAATTGTCTCCCCTGTTTTCTGAAAGATCTCTTGGAGTATCTCAGAAATGCACATATTTATTAACGTGTTAAGAATTCCGTAGATTACCCCAGACTGTGAGTACCAGGGCATAAAATATTCAAATGCCTTGTTAAATGCAATTCTTCAAAGACAAAGTAAACTGTGTGTTTTTCCTGTAAAAATTCTTCTTCACATTCCTCACAGACTATAATTTATGGTTTACACCACCATCATAAAAAGGAAGTAAAGGGATTTGAAAACGAGATAGCAAATTTGAAAATAACTGAGTTGGAGACTAAAACAACAAAACACTGACCTCACAACAGTATACCCCCACACACAAACACACAAGTTATAGCCAAATACAGGTTTAAATTGCTGCTAATTCTCACCTATTAGATTAATAGCATTGTTTCCTTGCTACATGTGTATATGTATTTGAGTGCAACTAGTACAATGTAGATAAGAATTGTGCTAATGCATAACTGGCAACAAGCCTTTATTCTGTCTCCTTTATATAGATTTTAAAAGGACACACCTGGTTGGAAACACTATCTAAATAGTGGGTTGAATTGGAACATTCTTTATATTCCTATGTTTAGCACATTGGTGGAACTAATGTAGAGTGGGCACTGGTGCAGGAAATTTGTGAGAAACCATATCAAATACCTTGGCAAAATCCAAGTAGATCACATCCACTGCAACACCCTGATCTATACTTCTACTTACTTCTTCGTAGAATGCAATTAGGTTAGTCTGACATGACCTATGTTTCATAAAACCATGTTGATTATTGCTAAAAACAAAGTTTTTCCCAATACATTTCTGAATATTATCCCTTAATAGCCCTTCAAATATTTTCCCAGTCACAGAAGTTAAGCTCACAGGTCTATAATTTCCAGGAAAGGATTTTGAACCCTTTTTAAATATAGGAACAACATCTGCCTGCCTCTAATCCTCTGGTACAATACCTGAAACAAAAGAATCTTGAAAGATTAAATACAGAGGTTCACTTATTTCCCCACTTAGCTCCTTAAGTACTCATGGGTGAATACCGTCAGGCCCCGGAGCTTTGTTTGCATTAATTTTCTTTAACTGCTGTAGCACATTGTCTCGAGTCATCCAATCACAAGTTATCTGCAAGTTTTTTGCAGCAATCATTTGCATATCTCTTGCCATAGGATCCTCATTAATATATACTGAAGAAAAATAGTTATTTACAATGCCTGTCTTTTTCTGGTCTTTATTAACTAAAAGACCCATCTCTGTTTCCAGTGTACCTACACTTTAACTTTTTGTTTTTTTAGAATTGATGTACTTGAAAACATTTTTGGGGGTTGGTTTTGCATTCTTAGGCTATCAATTTCTCATTTGCTAGTTTAGCCACTTTAATTGCCTTTTTGCAAGCATTAATGGCTTCTTTATATCTTATATAGGATGCCTCTGATTAGTCCGATTTAAATGCTTTAACCCCTTCCCAACCTTGGATGTGCAGGGTACGTCCGACAAAAAACAGCAGTTAATGACCTTGGACGTACCCAGCACGTCCGTGGCTAAAATGACCCGGATACTCACCTGTACCGGCGATCCCAGTCCAGGGGGACTGCCCGAGATCCCAGCAGCTTCATCCTCTCCGGCCCTCCAGAGCCATGTGATCATCGAGCTGCCAGCAGGGGGACAGCCTGAGCAATCAGGCAGTCCCGTTGACACCTAAAAAAAATAAAAATATATATATATATATATATATATTATACATATATTATAAATATGATTGCATTATAAGTGTACTTTGAGATATATACACATATATCTCAAAATACACTTATAATGTAATCATATATATGCATTATATATGTATAATAAATTCTAAAATGCTTTAATTATGTTATAATATATTCTACATATATAGGAAATAAAAACAAGTACGTGTGTGTGTGTGTATATATATATATATATATATATATAAAATGAAAAAATCTTGCACTTCATCAATAACAAAATTTATGAAATGCCCGGTGCTTGTCAGCCAAAAATACAAAAGTATTTTTTATCAGTATGCTGATGAAAGCTTGAGGAGATCAAGCTGAAACGTTGACATGGTGACACGGTTGATATGTGCCTTTTGTGTGTGAAAAATGCTAAAAACTTCACTTTGACTGACAATATCATCGCTGTGATATGTTTTTTGGTTTTGAAACACTAATATTTGTGTTTAGCAAAGTCTCCTGCGCAAAACAGAACACCCCATGTACAGGTTTTAGGGTGTGTTGGAAAGAGACAGGGTCAATATAGGGCTTGCCCATTTTAGTTTGCCAGATTGAGACCATATGGTAGCCCAGGAATGTGAATTAACCTCATCATGGCATACCATTTTCAAATGTAGACAAATCAGGGTATTCAAAATGAGGTATTTCCAGTCTTTTGTAGTAGCCACTTAGTCACAAACACTGGCCAAAGTTAGCGTTTTTATTTGTTTTTTTAAACAGAAACTGCACTTTCACTGACGATATCATTGCTGTGATATGTTTTACTGTTTTGAAATACTCATATCTGTGTTCAGCGAAGTCTCCCATGTACTGGTTTTATGGTGTTTTTGAAAGTTACATGGTCAAATATAAGTGGCTACTACAAAAGACTGGACATACCCAATTTTGAATACCCTGGGCTGTCTACTTTTTCAAATGGTATGTCATGGTGGGGTTTATTTTCATTTCTGGGCTGCCATACCATCTCAAAGGCAACATAGCCAATCTGGCAAATAGCAATTTCCAAAAAACGAAATTGGCAAATCTTATGTTTGACTCTGTAACTTTCCAAATCCCCACAAAACCTATACTTGTGGGGTACTGTTGTAGTCGTGAGATATTAATCTACACAAATATGAGTGTTTTAGAGCAGTAAAATGTATTATACTTATAATCTGTGAAATGGAAGTTTATGTGTCAAAAATGTAAAAAAACTAACATAAAAGCTAATTTTGGCCAGGGTTTGTGACTAAGTGGCTACTAAAAAAGAGTGGACATACCCCATTTTGAATACCGTGGGTTGTCTACTTTAAAAAAATATATGGTTTGATGGGGGTAAATTACATTGGCCAGCTTCAAAATTTCCCAAATAGGACATGGGTGCATGATGACCAGCTGTGAAAATTCCAAGTTGGAAAACTGGAATGCGCACCCTCCAAATAAGGTCTTTTAGCCCCCAGAGAACCTGACACACCTATACATAGGTGGTATCACTGTACTCAGGAGATGTTGCTGAACACATATTGGGGTGTTCTTTGGCACTAACCCTTAAAGTTCTCAGTACATGTATTCTTAAATTGCTATGTGTCTCAAGAAAATCACCAATTATTGTTATTTTTTTTAATTTAGCATAGATTGGTGGTAAAATGGTTGCATGAAAAGAGTCAAAATACCCCAAGTTTAATACCTTAGGTTGTCTTCTTTTAAAAAATATATACAAGTAAAGGGTTATTCAGGGATTCCTGACAGATATCAGTGTTACAATGTAACTTGTGTTAATTTTATAGAAAAAATGGTTGGAAATAGCAAAGTGCTACTTGTACTTATTGCCCTATAACGTGCAACAAAAAGCTAAGAACATGTTAATATTGGGTATTTCTAAACTCAGGGCAAAATTTAGAAACCATTTACCGCAGGTGTTTTTTGGCGGTTGTAGATGTGTAACAGATTTTGGGGGTCAAATTTAGAAAAAGTATGTTTCTTTTTATTTTTTCATCATATTTTAAAATTTTCTTAATGGTAAATTATATGATATGATGAAAATAAGGGTATCTTTAGAACGACCATTTAATGGTGAGAAAAATGGCATATAATATGTGTGGGTACAGTAAATGAGTAAGAGGAAAATTACAGCTAAACACAAACACCACAGAAATCTAAAAACAGCCCTGGTCCCAAACGGTAAAAGAAATTGAAAAGCAGTCTGGTCACTAAGGGGTTAAATGCACTTTTCTTATTTTTAATCTCTTGTTTTACTTCTCTACTAAGCCACATTGGTCTCAATTTGTTTATTTTATATTTATTACCCAATGGTAATGGTATTTGTTTGAAGAGTTTCCATTTATCCTCATTGTTTTTTTCATTAAGGAGTTTATGCCAGTTGATATGTTGTAGAGCTGCCCTAATCTAATTGAAAATGTTGTTTTTTTTAAATTATACGTTTTAGTATACCCCACGTGCTTTTGCTTTTTTGAGTTCATTTCAAAAGTTACCATATTGTAATCACTATTTTCTAAATACTCCCCTACTTGAAAGCTGGTCAAAAGCAGGGCAAACTAGGCGGCCGCCTAGGGCGCTGTTTAAGGGGGGGCCCTGACAAGTTAGATTATTTTTGAGTATGCCACAGGCCATTTTACCGTGCGTTCTGAAGCACTTACATTGCTGCTCACTAGCGCCCGGTAGAACACAGGTCCGGCGGCATACAGATCAGCTCGCTCAGCCAGGCCTCCCCTCCCAGGCATGCATTGCGGCAGCACACGGGCGCTTCACTTCCTCACTCCCGCCCCTTCCACTGGATGTGGGGAGAAGTGGGCGGGAGCATAATGTGCAGAGAAAGGGCAGCCAGGAGCAGGGAGTGAACAGTAATGAAGGTAAGGTATGTCAGAGAATGTGTGTTAGTCTGCTTCAGTCAGTATGTTTATGTATGTCAGTGTGTCTATCTGTATGGGTCTGTATGGGTCAATGTGTGTCTGTATGGGTCAGTGTGTCTGCATGGGTCAATGTCTGTCTGTATGGGTCAGTGTGTGTGTCTGCATGGGTCATTGTGTCTGTATGTGTGTGTCTGCATGGGTCAGTGTGTGTATAGGAGTCTGTGTTCGTCAGTCTACATCGGTTAGTGCTTGTGTGTCAGTTTGCATGGTCAATGTGTGTCTACTTGAGTCAGCGTGTGTGTTAGTCTGCATGATTGAGTGAAGCAAATGGGGTGGCAAATTTGTTTTCGCCTAGGGCACCAAAAATGCTTGCACAGGCCCTGGTCAAAAGATCAACATTGTTTGTTATAACTAGATCCAGACAAGCTTCCTTTCAAGTAGGTGCTTGTACCAGTTGTGACATAAAGGTTAACACATTCAAAAACCTGGTTTCCCTTGCTGAAGTGTAGTACTTGTGTGTAGTGTTTGCGTTTGATTGCAAGGGTGTGTTAGTATGTAATGTTGGTTTTTAAATGCAGTTGTGCTTTTGTGTGTAGAGTTTGGGTTTCTGTTTAATTTTAGCATTTTAATACTTGGGTGTGTTTATGTAATGTTTGCATTTGCACGCAGTGGTGTGTTTGGATGTGGTGTTCGCTTTTAAATGCGGATGTACATTTGTGTTTAGTATTAGTCTTTAAGTGAAGGAGTGTGTTTGTATATAAAATTTGGAGTTTAAATTTAGGAGTGTGTTTGTATGTAATGTTTGTATTTGATTGCTGGGATGTATGCACATACACTGCCACATACATACATACTTACACAAGTACACACAGAAAACACACTCACACATACACACACACTCAGATACACACACAGATAACAGACCCTTTTAATATAAAAATTCATATCACTGTAGTTAACTATATCCTGGAACTGAGCGCACCCATCTTTTAGAAACATAGAAACATAGAATGACGGCAGATAAAAACCATTCGGCCCATCTAGACTGCCCAATTTTCTAAATACTTTCATTAGTCCCTGGCCTTTATGCCTATCCCACGCATGCTTAAACTCCTTTACTGTGTTAACCTCTACCACTTCAGCTGGAAGGCTATTCCATGCATCCACTACCCTCTCAGTAAAGTAATACTTCCAGATATTATTTTTAAACCTTTGTCCCTCTAATTTAAGACTATGTCCTCTTGTTGTGGTAGTTTTTCTTCTTTTAAATATAGTCTCCTCCTAATACAGTCTCCAAGATTAACATCTTGGCTCCATGTAAATCATTGTTATAAAAAGCACACTCGGTAGTCGATCTAATGAACCTGAGGGACATTGTACCCAGACCCCTTCATTGAGCTGAAGTGGTCTGGGTGACTGTAGTGTCCCTTTAAGATTTAAAATCCAGCCCCATCATTCAATTACTGAGTTCAGTTCTATTATAAATTAGGAAATGCTGCAATATTAATATTCATGAAAAGTAATTATGTTTGTTTCAATGTATGTCAGGACAGAGCCTCACTTACATCTTCCTAAATATGCTATCTCTGCTATATATCACCTACCAACAGAAGATCCAGTACATACCATTCTGTACTCGTTGGTTAGCTTATTCTAGTTGTGTGCATTTATATATAACTAGCATTCCGTTACATATGACCTAAGTGAATTAACTCATTATTTGCCGTAATGCTAGTAAGAATTCAATGAATTACATTTTTGTATGCTTCTAAAATGAATAGGTTTAAATGATCTGATCATCGTGTCTTTCAGTAACTCTTTCTGTATTTATTATTAGTGCATATTCATTTAAAGTTTGGCTATGAATAAGGGTGGTAAAGGCTGAATAGGTATAGTAAAGATGACATTTTTAGGACAGCCTTGTGCATGGGTTAATCTATGCTCATTTTATAAGGGGTTAATACAAAAAAAATGAGAAATATTGTCCCATTAGATCCTCAAAAAGAAAGTAAGGTAACTACATAAAAGATAGAAAAAAAAAGAAAAACATGCATGTTTTAGCCACTGTTCCCTGACCAGTGGGTGAGAATAATATTTAGTCTTCAACTCAAACAAATAAAGTGAAATTCTTAAATACTTTTACTTAATGCTTGAAAACATATTCTGAAATGCAAGTTTATAGTGTGTGCTTTCACCAAATCTTAATAAATATTATCTAAACCCACGGTTTATAAAGCTGACATCTGCAACTATGTGTGCTATCTTAATGCCAAAAAATGTCACGAAATGAAAAAGTGTTTATATTTTATGGAGTGGATATATCTCTCTGTGTATGCGTTAATCCACACATTCTGATGTGGACCCCACACAAATTCCAGGAGCAAGACTATTGTAGAAGGTTGCCATGGGAATCTATTTGAAACTTAATTTAGTTAAGAACATCTAATTATTCACATATTATAAAGTAAGCATGAGTAAAATAAATGTTAGATGTTGCCAGTGGTCATTTATTTTCATTCTATGTTTTATAGACTAAGATACCAATAAACACCTAATACAGCAACAAAAAGAATTCTTTCATAAAAGGAATGGAAGATTCTTACTCCCAAATGGACACGGGATAATGGAGGATTAATTACAAAGTATGCAAAAATAAATTTACTTCTTAAAGGGACTAACATGTATTCCTGACCCTACAATGTTAAAAACACAAGTAGGGTCCCTGGCCCCCCTTTGCCCTTCAATAAGTGAGAAAACTCACTGTTTTTCCACCGTCACATGTTCTGCTTGAGCTGGCCTGTGACAAATTGCCTTTTGTCACTGGATTTTTATGTGACAAACTGCCCTTTGCCCCTGGCTGTTGGAGGAACCTGATTGCCAGCCTCCTGCCTCATGACTATGGCCCTGGGTTGTATGGCCCTTTAAAGACATTATTTGGGCATATGGGATTGTAACACACTTTTTCTGCCCCTTTGATTCCATGGGAGAATGTGCCTCTTCCCCTCCCCCTGTTTCCTGTCCCATTGTTCTCCAGCAGGGCGTTGTCTCAGGGACACTGCCAGACCAGTTTAAACTGGCTGCTTGCAAAACTTTAACCCCAAATTTACTCTGTTCGTGGGATCTGAGCACTGTTCACCTATATTGGGCGCTCAGAAATGTGGGGGTTCTGTGTAATATAATAGGAATTATGTATTTTTATGTATTTTTACTGTTAGTGTAAAATGGAGATATTTTCTGTACCTGGAGATAATTGAGTTTACTGCAGTACCTTAAGCCAATTATCTCCAGGATAGAGGGGAGGGATTTTACTGTGTATGTTGGAGTGTTTTTTTGTTAATATGTGTTCCCATTGGTTTGTGTCCCTTTTGTCACAGTTTGCCACCAGGTCCAGGGGGTGTGCCTCTGGCCTGAAAACGTGTATAAAAGACAGTCCTTTTGTGTGCATTAAAGCATATCTAGTGACTGTCAGAGAAGTGGCCACTAGAGGTGTTCCTAGGATGTAATGTAAACTCTTTTCTTTGAACATTAAGCTGTAGTTGTTCTGGTGACTTTAGTGTCCCTTTAAATATAATGTTTAAAATAAAAATAATAAAAAGAAGAACAAGCAAAAACAATGTCATCAACAAATAAGCAACTTGTAGGTGTGAAACATATCTAGCATTGTAAACGTGTTTCCCCCTTTACATATTTGTGTTCCAAAGTGTTATGCTACTAGGGTTTTTAGAATTGGAACTCAACTGCAGCTTGTAGAACTCCTTAATTACAATAGTGAAGAAACGGAAAATCTTTAAATTATCAATACTGTAGCTTTAAGAAAAGAGAGGATTGCTGGCAATTTGAGAATCAAACAAAGTTTTAATGATTGATAAACTTAAATGAATTGCATATAGGCAATAATCCAATAAGAAGAAAGTGCAGGTTATCAAACAATACAAAGTTCATTAATAAGTATTTCCTCAGAAAAGGGTCTGTCTTCCCTCAAAACAAATTCATCTCAATAAAGTTATTATAAGATGCTGTCTTACCTTAAGGTGCTAAACTGTTTGAAAATAGTCACCATACAGAGCAGAGAACATAAGCATTGAGCAGCACTGGGTGACGTTGATTGTTAGAGTACAACAGCCTGTCACTGGACGTCAATTATGAGTACTGTACGTATTTTCTACTCACAGTGTTTGACCAGTGATAGGCTGGAACCATCATCTGATGCTCCCATCCAATCACCAGTACCCAATCCTCCCCTTCTCTGCTCAGTAGAGAATGGAAATAAAAAAGTGTAGATGACACTGAGAGGCATTTTGGGTGTTAAGCCATTTCAAAACGGTTTAAATCCTTAGGCTAAGATAGCACCCATGGACTCGAGCTCCAAAATGATATTATGTTTATTTAAAGGGTAAAGAGTCTCATTAAGTATTATCATGTTAAAGTTAAATATATATATATATATATATATATATATATATATATTATGTAAGAATGTTTTTCATTATACATTCAGGTTCTTCCCACTTGTTGATTTTGTAAAACATTTTTAAACTCCTTAAACTTATTTGTAATCCAGTGACAGTACAGTTTCCTCTGTGCAGCCACTCTTCCCATAATTAGATCATGGGGATCGATGAGCTCTGGTCTAATCCAGTGCTACTCATAGAGAAGCTTTATAGACCTACTTGAATGGCAATCACCACACTCCAGAAATTTCTCTGAGAAGCATTAGCGAATGTGAAAACCTTCAAAGATCTTAGGGAGTCAGTACCTCTAATGGAATGTAATCTGACAACCATTAAGAAGATGGCGGTAGACTTGAGGAACAGATCCAAGTAGGTATAACTCACGTTTCCCTGCACCCCTCAGCCACCGCATTGCCAGTTGGTCAGTCACCGTCGAGGGTCTTTGCAAATCATGCAAAGACCCGTCCTAGATAGTAACATGACTGCTTAACCAGATCTAGTGGGTTTAGATCCTAGAGTGTCCCTTTAAAATGATCCTATGGGATTCATGTTTTATTATGTAAGTCAGTTTGACCTGTTATTTCATCTTGAATACCTTTAATAATGTCTTGAGTTACGGTGATGGTAAATATATATATTAGACCAGATTGTTCATATTCCCCTCTGGACAGACAGACATACAATCTGCCTGCTGGCACACTGCTTTAAAGATGCTGCCAAGTATTCTGCACACTGCATTAGATAATGTGACAGATTTATCAAAAGCATCTGATCTAGCATTCTTGGTTGAATCATGCAAGGAAAACACTCCAATTACAAAGGCTGTGAGTAGACATGGTTTACAAACAGATACCAGTTAAATAAACAACATGAAAACTATTTAATATAAGTTTCATCTGCATAACAAACATATAATAAAACTCTCTGCATATTTATTAATATGGTCGAATGTCCTTTCTCTCTGTTTGTTTAATCCACATTATATTGATGCTCTAAATCAGTAGCTTGCTATTCAGCTTCCTGTAATATATTCCTGCAAGATATTTTTCAAGATAAACATTGCTGGGATTGAGTTAGTACAGTCAGCAGAAAGACTCCTTTGGCTGTCAATACAAAAGATCATGTTACTTCTTGGTTCTTTAGCTCAGAGCTAAACTCAAGAGTTAGGCAATTGCTCAAAAACACCTGCCTTGCTAAGACTTCGTATTGAGTTGCATTGGGACGTCTGTGATTGGACAGTCACAGAAAGTCTAGGCTGGGGAAGAAGGGGAGGGATTGCAAAGGCTGTAGACAAGAGACCTGCAGCTTTTAAAAACAGCTACAAAATAATGATTGAAATTTTTTTTATTGTTTATATGAGCAGTGGTGTGTCCCTTTATTCATGAACCATAAGTTATGTAAGATAACATTGGTATTTAAGGAAAACCAAAATGCACCCTCCAATTATTAATAATGAACATATCCTAAATTACATCAACATAAAAGCACCACATATAAGTACAAAACAAGTGGGTGCCTGACAACATATAATAATAAATATAGATATCACAAAAAACCTAAAGAGTCACCAAATATCATATCTATTAAGAATACTTTCCTTCCCCGATTCTCAGTACCTGGGTGCCTCCATTTTGTCCTCCTCTGTCCATATCTGCAGTTTATCCCTTTGGGATTCTTTTGACTGATGGACTATGGGTAAATTAGGGAAGCAACTAAAATGGAACTTTATTGCCCAAAAATCCCAAAGAACACTCTTCCCATAAAAAATGGTCCCTTTTTTTCTTAGGTGTAAGTACAAAAATAAGGTTCATTTAAAAAAATGAGCATTTGATTTAAATGATCTTGAAGTCAACACATTACTTTACTATATTATGCAAATGTTTCCTCTGATGATGCCATCCACCTGCTTCTAAATTAAATAATACACATCTTGTGTTCCCTCATTCTATCAGAAACATTTACGAAAAACGTATTTCTTTACATTTGGAAATGAGATACTGTAATGTTTAGCAGAATATAGTTTCTGGCTAAGAGTGGGCAATTCTTGTTTTAGGATCTTTCCTATAAGGATCGGCACTGGCATGAGTCCTGCTTCCACTGTTTTCAGTGCAAACGCTCTCTGGTGGACAAGCCCTTTGCTGCTAAAGATGAACACCTAATCTGTACTGAGTGCTATTCCAATGAGTATTCATCCAAGTGCACCGAGTGCAAGAAAACCATTATGCCAGGTAAGCAGATGCCATGTGCTGCGAAGTACACATCATTTTTTGTGGTCTAATGTTTTTTTACATTTATCAGCAAAATTACTCTAAAAATAACTATGTGGAATTGTCTGTGAATTTCACATTTTAGGCCAAATATAGAACGTTTGTCTGCTTTGGTCTAGAATTTTAAAAAATCCACTTTTATGTCCCAGTAATTTTCATTGCAATGAATAACTGAGTGATTTCTATTCAGGTAATTTCAACATAGAATTGAATAAAGCTTTTGTAATATATTTAAGCTATTGTATTAGGTATGAAGATAATAAATGAATGAGATATAAAATAATGTACCATGTTTCATTTATAAAGTATATAATTACATACACTAGATAGATTGATATGCTGTGCATGTTATATTTGATGCATGCCTCCCAAATACCCCACTTCCAGTGGGACAATCCTGATTTTGGAGTCCTTTTCCCACTGTCCCACCATTCTGCTATAGTTAGAACTGTTCCTGGGTAGCACAGCGTGAGCACAGCAGACACTAAGACCATTAGGAAGGAGCTTTAGCAGTCCTTACTGAATGTTTCCGTCAGTAAGAGGCTGGCCAAACAGGCTGTCATGCCACATCAATGGGCTGTCACCCCTTTTCCAGGTGGACCTGCAAATTATGGGTATCACCTCCCATCTCGACTGCTTACCTTCCAATATTGAGAAGTAAGTTAGATGTAATTAACAATGTGCAAAATGCAGATACTTGGTAGGCTGAATGGGGAAGCAGTGCCTCCCTAGCTGGATGTAAGAGGGTAAGGGATGGAATTTAGGCACCATAGATTTCATTGACAAATGAGGAATTAAGGTGGTTCTAATGCCAAAAATAATCAGGGTTTTGCAATAAAGTGGATTTCAAATATAAGGCCAAAATTGCCAAACTGGAAAAAGTCTTCAAAACAGCTATGCTTCCAGTTTCGGCAATTTTGGCCTTAAATTTGAAACTCACTTTGCATTTTCACTTTATTGAATAACCCTGATAGTTTCTTTTCGGTGTTAGAGACACTTTAATTCCTCAGCTGTCAATGAAATTTCAGTTGCCTAAATTCCATCACCTACCCTCTTACATCCAGCTTGGGAGCCACCCCATCCCTGTGTAGCCACTCAAGTATCTGCATTTAATAAATTAAATAAATCAAACTTATCAAGCATTGCTGACTTAAGAATTTTTCCAGTTTTGTAATTTTGAAATTAAATTTGAAATTCACTTTGAATTCACCTTGAATTCTTACTTTAGTGAATAACCTTGTGTACCTAATCTCCTTTCATATTGAGGCCTGAATCTCTCTTAATTTTTTTCCAAGTGCTCTAGTGTTTAGGAAATGCATTAAGAATTGTGGTGAAGCGTTTCCTTATGTACCTGTCATTTTAACAAAACTGGACAATGGGCAGAGCATTGTCACTCCCACCCCGCAAAATGAGCATTCCATAAAGATGAAATATTTATGAAATACTCCTATTGACCATGTAAGTATTTCAAAAGATATACTTAGTAGAGACTAGTTTGTCTCAGTATTCTTCCTACTCCTGAGTCAGAGACACTGCTAGACACCGGGCGGAGCTACAGCTACATAGAAGTAGCAATCCCCCAGCTGTTGCCATTGCATGACTTCTTGCACCATAACCATTAAAATATGATATAAAAATATGGGCTCCCAGTACAATAAAACTTTACTATAATCTAGACCTTTGAAGTGTACTAATCAATTCATTGTTCAGAACTAGTTTACTCTGGTGCATGGTATTGACCATTTTTGATGTTTTATTGGTCTTCAAATCCTGACAAGAATTCTTCACATCCCATTGTTCTCACGAGCATTTAATAAAGACTGCATGTTGTACAGATCATTCAGTAACTTTTATCCAGGTCTACTCATGACTGACTTATTTTTGCCCATACCCTATTTATTTTTCATTCCAAATAGGTTTTATCAAACATTTTCATTTTTTATTTCTCATTCTGATATGTCCACAAAGCCTTTTCTTTTTGGTTCTAGTTGGAACCCAGTAGTACATAGGGTGTTTAATCTGGCTGCAGAGACCAGAGCATGTGATAGTTACAGTTGTGCTCAAAAGTTTGCATACCCTTGGAGAATTGGTAATATATTTAGCAGGGCCCTCCACCTCTCTGTTCCCGTACGTCCAGTTGTCAGGTTTCAATTACATGTCTGTAAGTCCACCCATTGTACAGCGCTACGGAATCTGATGGCGCTATATAAATAATAAAATAATAATAATAATACAATTTTTAAAGAAAACATGAGTGAGAAGGCAAAACACATTTCTTTTATTTCTTATGGGATTCATATTCAACTGTAGGTTATAACAGAATATCACAATCATAAAAGAAAACATGGCAACAAAGAAAAAAATTAAATGACCACTGTTGAAAAGCCTGCATATCCTTAGTTCTTAATACTGTGTATCGCCCCCTTTAGCATCAATGACAGTGTGCAGTCTTTTGTAATAGTCTATGAGGCCCCTTATTCTTCCTAAAGCTGCCCATTCATCTTGGCAAAATGCCTCCAGGTCATGCAAAGTCTTTGGTCGTGTTGCATGAACTGCAGGTTTGAGATCTCCCCAGAATAGCTCCATGATATTAAGGTTAGGAGACTGTGATGGCCACTCCAGAACCTTCACCTTTTTCTGCTGTAACCACTGGAGGGTCAACTTGGCCTTGTGCTTAGGGTCATTGTCATGCTGGAAAGTCCAAGAGCGTCCCATGTGCAGTCTTCGTACAGAAGAATGCAAATTGTCTGCCAGTATTTTCTGATAAGATCCTGCATTCATCTTGTCATCAATTTTCACAAAATTCCCTGTGCCTTTAGAGCTCACACAACCCCAGATTATCAGTGAGCCACCACCATGCTTCACAGTGGGGATGGTATTCTTTTCACTATATGCCTTTGGGACCCCTCTCCAAACATAGTGGTTATGGTTGTGACCATAAAGCTCTATTTTGGTCTCATCACTTCAAATTACAGTGTGCCAGAAGCTGTAAGGTATCAAGCTGTTGTCGGGCATATTGTAACTGGGCTTTTTTCTGGCAACTCGACCATGCAGTTCATTTTTGTGCAAGCATCGTCGTATTGTGCTCCTTGAAACAACCAGACTCTCTTTCCAGAGCAACCTGTATTTCTCCTGAGGTTTCCTGTGGCTTTTTCTTTGTATCCAGAACAATTCTTCTGTCAGTTTTGGCTGAAATCTTTCTTGGTCTACCTGAACTTGAATTCATATCAAGAGATCCCTGAATTTTCAACTTCTTAATAAGTGATTTAACAGTACTGACTGCCATTTTCAAGGCTTTGGACATGTTTTTATATCGTTTCCATCTTTATAAAGTTCCATTACCTTGTTAAGCAGGTCTTTTGACAGTTCTTTTCTGCTCCCCATGGCTCAGTATCTAGCCTGCTCAGTGCATCCACATGAGAACTATCAAACTCATTGACTATTTAGACACAGACACTAATTGCAATTTAAAAAGCCACAGCTTTGGGAAATTAACCTTTATTTGCCATTTTAACCTGTGTGTTTTACCTTATGTGTCTGTAACAAGGCCAAACATTCAAGGGTATGTAAACTCTTGATCAGGGCCATTTGGGTGATTTCTGTTATCATTATTATATAAAAAGGAGCCAAACAACTGTGATAATAAATGGCTTCATATGATTTACTATCCTTCAATAAAAGATTTTTTTTTTTTTGCATGATCAGTCATATTTTCAAAACTTCTACCAGGGTATGCAAACGTTTGAGCACAACTGTATAAACTATGGACATTATTATGGAATTAGTAGTTAGACATGACATGTTCATGTATGATTCTTGACAAAACATCTTTACAGACGGAAGTATTTTGTTTTGTGGATCTAGTAAAAGTGATAATTTTTTCAATATCTATACTTGCATCATGAAATAGCTTCCAAATTGTAAGGTCCATGCTCTGTATGGACAGAGACATCAGACATACCGTATTTATCGGCGTATAACACGCACTTTTTCTCCCTGAAAATAGGGGGCAAATTATGGGTGTGTGTTATACGCCGGCCCTTTAAATGCTGCAGCCGCCTGAGCGCTCTGTCAAGAGCGGTCAGGCGGCTGCAGTTGGTTCTCACCTCCCATGTAGCTTGGCTGAGCTGCTCTGCTGTCCGCAGTGCCCGGCCGGAGTGATAGGAAGGTGCACTGAGCGTGCACCTTCCTATCACTCCGGCCGGCCACCGCGGACAGCAGAGCAGCTCGGCCACGCTACAGGGGATGGGGTAAAAAGAGAGTGGAGGGGGAGTAAGAAGAGGGGGGGGTAAGAAGGGGGGTAAATAGGGGAGGGAGTAAGAAAGGGGATAAGAAGATAAGAAGAGGAGGAAGGGGGTAGGGGTAGGGGAGTAAGAAAGGGGTAAGAAGGGGAGGGGAGTAGAAGGGGTAAGAGGGAGGGAAGTAAGAAGAGAGGGAGGGGGAGTAAGAAGGGGGTGAGGGGGGAGGGGGTAGAAGGGGGAAGGGGAGTAAGAAGGGGGTAAGAGGGGAGGGGGAAGTAAGAAGAGGGGTAGGGGAGAGTAAGAAAGGGAGGTAAGAAGAAGGGGGAGGGGGGAGTAAGAAAGGGGGGTAAGAAGAGGGGGAGGGGGGAGTAAGAAGGGGGTAAGAAGTTCTTTATTTGAAATTTAAGGGTTTTTTTCCTGAAATTTCCTTCTTAAAATGCGGTGCGTGTTATACACCGATAAATACGGTACTTTATAAACAGGAATTGAATGATCACTGCTGAGCTAAAATAAATCAATCTCCCTGTGTCTGTAAGTGTCAAGCAGTTCCCAAAGACTCCTCTGCCCACATTCTCAGATTGCATTGGGTTTGTGCATTTACATTGTGTGTGTCTTATTTATATTCCTGACAGGTTTGACTTCTCTGTATGGTGAAAAAGAAAACTATTGTTTGCATCAGGAGTTTGCAAAATGTGTGGTTTCCAATGTTTCTTTCTGGTCTTTAGTGTATCACGGTATAAGAGGCTTAAAGAATAACACTGTTTATTAAAATGATATATTTTTCATTGCTTTCCTATCTTTTGCTTCTTTAATAAAAGTGCAAGATTAGTGGCACCAACACAACAAACTTGTGGCCTTATATTTATGCTGTGATTGACTCAAAATTCTAATTTCTTTGGTTTTGTTTACAAAAGAAAGAAAAGTTTTGCTGCCTCCACCCCCTCTCTCTTCCCAGCAATTTTTCATAAAATGTTTTCCTGATTGGATGGTACGCAGTACAGCTCAGCCAATGAGAGATCAATGTGAGCTGAGCTGCCGACGTGCATCTACAGTCAATGACTGTTCTTTTATTCTTTGATCCCTTTCCTCTTAGCACTGTGTCTGCTTTGAAATCTTTTTCTTTGATTTAGTCTAGAACATCATAATTTTGGCCCAAGATTTATTTATATTTTATGAATAATTAATTTTTGCATTGATGTTCTGGTGGTAGTGTCCTTTTTTCAATACAGGTTTTTATTAACCAGTATAGCAATAAACACAAGGAGGGAGAAGAAATAGTTAGGGAGAGGTTGACAAGATTAATTTGGCATTTAAAAAAAATGTTTAAAGACCAACAATTATTCAAGTGTTTGGCTGATCCAGAAAGAACATTTTCTGAATATAACTCAGCTGCAAAAAAAGAGTTTTTTTTAGGAGATTGCGAGGGGAAAAAATGAAATCATCAGCCTAATGGAAATTGCCATTTTTATTTGTGACAGCTCTTATTAATCATTCATTTATATTGTTCCAATTGATTCTGTAGTACTTTATGATGGTCTAAAAATTATGGAGTCTAAAAATTTGGGGAATTTGATTGAAACAGATAATTACCGTGCATTATACATCATTTTGTAATTGGATTTAATGCTAGGCGGGACAGTCTTTTTAAAAGCCTCTAATTATTGTGTTTTAATTCTAATTATTGTGTTTTAATTCTAATGCAGGGACGCGCAAGATGGAGTACAAAGGAAACAGCTGGCATGAGACTTGCTTCAGCTGTTTCCGCTGCCAGCAGCCAATAGGAACAAAAAGCTTCATCCCCAAAGATAACCAGAATTTCTGTGTACCGTGTTATGAGAAGCAATTTGCAATGCACTGCGTTCAGTGCAAGAAGGTGGGTACCAAGGATAGTTAAATTAATAATACAAACAATTTCAGGATTAATGGAGTTACAGCGGCTAGTTGTACATTTGCCAATCTCTACTGTATTGTCTTACAGGCGATTACTACTGGTGGTGTCACCTACCGAGATCAGCCCTGGCACAAGGAATGCTTTATATGTACAGGCTGCAAAAAGCCTTTATCTGGTCAACGCTTCACTTCTCGGGATGAGTTTGCCTATTGCTTGAATTGTTTCTGCAACCTCTATGCCAAGAAATGCGCCGGCTGCAGCAGTCCCATAAGTGGTATGTACTCTCTGATCTGGTTCATCTTTACTAAAGAAACAGAAAAGAAGAGTATTATGTGCAAATGGAGATAAAACCATCAACAGAGAGAAAGATTATGATGCACATGAGTGCATAGGACAGACTGAACAGTTGGTTTATTAAGCTAATTGCATGTTACTAGCCAAACTCAAACTTAAGACTAGGGGATCCGTAAAGCAATTCAGTCCTGATGAAAGCCCAGAGGTTCGGGTGTCTTAGAACTACTTTTGGAATGATTGATAAAGTGGCCCAAAAATGAGACAATGATGCTATTTTTTCCAGTTGGAATAAATGCTATATTGCAGAAACAACAATAGTGTTTGTACAAAATTGCAGTTCAGCACAGGAGGTTCACATCCAACGTGCAGTACAAAATACAATACCATCAGTCCCTACTATAGCTAAATTGTAAGCTTGTTTGAGCAGGGTCCTCAGCAACCTGTTCTTCCGGTAACATTTTGTAATTGTATAATTTATTGCGTTGCATATTATGCTGGCGTTATATAAATGTAAGTATTAATATATAATTGTGACAAAACCCCTATTTTTCTTCCTTGTGCTGTGCTCATCCCCAGTCCCGGAACCTCTTATACACTTTGTATTTTACTTGCCTCCCATTCGGTATTAAACCTACCGAACTAGACCGACCATTAGCCCTGATTTCATGAAACTGTTTTGGGCATAGGACCATAGGACCATGTGCACGGTCAGCTTTCATCAAATGGGGTTTTCATGTGTTTTGGGCATATTTTGGGGGGTTTGTTATATGGTATTTTTTGTACCTGAGAGATAATTTAATTATATGTTTGTGTGCTCAGGTAATTATCTCTCAGGCACAGGGGAGGAGTGTGTGGGATGTTTGCTTGCAACTAGTCTCCTCTCAGGTCCAGCAGGGAATGCCCCTGGAATTTGTTTAAGGAAACCCCTTGCATGGGGAGTTATATAAAAGACTGTGTGTGGCTCTCATTAAACACATTTGTTTTACCCCTTCATGAAGTCTAGGCTCATGTTTGGTGGTTGGAGAGCTCTAATCACTAATCTGCTGGAAACAGGAGAGCTATAATCACTGCAGCATTTGGGATTCGGGAGACTACTAACGGATATACTCAGCCGGAGTATAGGGTTCGGTTACAATAATAATTATAGCAATCTGTATCTTTAATGTCACTATTGACTGAGTTGCTCAAAGCCATGTTGTTTGTTACTACACAAAGTCCACATTGATTTAAATGGAACTCTATAGAGATCGTAAAGTTAACTCAGGGATGATTAAAGAACTCCAGATTGTTAGGTGACAATAAATGTAATGTTTTAATCTTGATAAGAATTATTCTTGTTTTATCTCCAGGTCTTGGTGGAACCAAGTATATCTCATTTGAGGAACGTCAGTGGCACAGCGACTGTTTTAATTGTAAGAAGTGTGCGATTTCCTTGGTGGGCCGTGGCTTTCTTACAGAGAGAGATGACATTCTGTGTCCTGAATGTGGAAAAGATGTATAAATCTGCTATAAGCTATAAGAATACAGACAAAACAAGCAGTATATAGAAATATATAGATATCATTATTATTAAATCATTTTTATTTTTGCTTTAATCCAGTACAATATGCTAAAGTTGTTAGATATTGAAGGTAACATTTTATTCTCAAGTTCAGCTTCATTATGATTAAGAACCACTGCCAATCCATGCCATCATGACAATAGGCCATCGAAGACCATATGCTGTAATCCAATGCATTGTTTCTTTACCAACAACTGCTATATCCAGCCTATCGGATATAAGAAGAGTCTTTAAAAACATAATTGTTACAACAGCATAGAATGTCATCAATTCTTAAAGTTTTTTTTTTTGTTTAGTTTTTTGCTTTGTAAAAAGTGGAGGTATACTACCAATTTTCCTCCTGGGCTGGTTTGATTTCAAGAATATCAACCACTTTTTACATACAATTTTGAATTTGGCCATTTAGTGGCATCTGTCATAATTTACGTTTCTAACTTAAAGGGATACTATAGGCACCCAGACCTCTTCATCTCATTGAAGTTATCTGGGTGCAGTATCCTTGCCCCCCTTAGTCCTGCAATGTAACACATTGCAGTTTTAGAGAAACTGCAATGTTTGCATTGCAGTACTAAGACTGCCTCTAGAGGTACTTCCTGGAGTTTCAAGTTATTAAGGGAAAGGCCTGATCCGTGTGCAACATTTGCCATGCATGTGCATCAGGTCACTTATCGGATGATATTGGAGGAGGCAGAGTGCAGCTCATTTCCTAAGGGACCTTGGCTCTGGTATCGGGTGAGCGAATAAAGGGTTATTTAACCCTTTACAACATTGAGGTGGGGTGCAGGGCTGAAGAACACAGTGTTAGGAATACATCTCTGTATTCCTAACACAAAAGTGTTTCTTTTAAAATGGAACTTTCTGTGCTCCCCATATGAGCTTGAAGGGCCGACATGTATAGATAGCTAGATGATCATTGTGAATTGTTCGTTGGGTTTATACTGTTTTGCAAATTTGTTTTTGCTGAAATCATTACATAAAATGTCATGTTTTTGTACACCAACTGCCAATGGTTAGTTTTAAACAATATTTAATTTGACTATTTCAAAAATAGTATTACATACTTGATCACTGTGAAAAACCTTTCTAAATTGAACTACACACTCTGGAAATAATAAGTTAAGCTTCCTTTCCAGTGATACTGAGTAATATATGAAAATAATACTCCAAGATTTCTGTATTATTACTTACCCTACAGATTCATTAACCTTACACAGTAATGTGTTTATGCTTGTTGGTTACATAGGACCCCGAACACCTTTATGGAAATTAAACCTTTGAATAAAACATTGAAAATCACCCATAACCTCATGTGATGCTCTGTATTCATATAATTGTATTAAAGGACCACTCTAGGCACCCAGACCACTTCAGCTTAATGAAGTGGTCTGGGTGCCAGGTCCTTCTAGGGTTAACCCATTTTTTAATAAACATAGCAGTTTCAGAGAAACTGCTATGTTTATCAATGGGTTAAGCCTTCCTCCAAATCCTCTAGTGGCTGTCTCATTGACAGCCGCTAGAGGCGCTTGCGTGATTCTCACTGTGAAAATCACAGTGAGAGCACGCAAGCGTCCATAGGAAAGCATTATGAATGCTTTCCTATGCGACTAGCTGAATGCGCGCGCAGCTCTTGCCGCGCGTGCGCATTCAGCCGACGAGGCGGATCAGAGGAGGAGAGGAGGCAGAGAGCTCCCCGCCCAGCGCTGGAAAAAGGTAAGTTTTTCCCCCTTTCCCCCTTTCCCCCTTCCAGAGCCGGGCGGGAGGGGGACCCTGAGGGTGAGGGCACCCTCAGGGCACTATAGTGCCAGGAAAACAAGTATGTTTTCCTGGCACTATAGTGGTCCTTTAAAGATTTAACAATTTACATTACAATCCAGTTATTTCCAGGCACAGCCAGAGCACATGATGTAAATGAGGAGACATAGAAACATTGCTTAATGACAGAGCTTATAACAATGATTGACACTGAGACAATATAGAGACGCCCCATTTCAGGGTTCTACCTTTAATTTTATTTCTATGCCTTACAAATAAATATTTAGTAAATATAGACGATAAGTAAACATAATATTAAAATCCTAAGAAGTGACAGTTTCCCTTTGTATGCTTTGTTGTGCTGTAAGACCAATGTGTTGCCATCTTCTTTCACTTACTTGAAAGAGAAATGACAGGATTTATTCAGTAAGCTGAGGGTTGTGAAAAACTTTTTTAGACGTTTTACAAATTCTATGCAAAAATAGCTATATTGGAAAAAGTTATTGCAGGGAATACTGCTTGTACATTCTTCGATATCCGTGTGCCTTGCCCAGTGAAATATAGATGCCAGGTTTTAGCCAGGCAACTGTTTGCTGTATGACGGCATTATGTCCAAACGTAGGAATTATTTTTATATTCTGGTTACATTTCGAGATTGTACATTTCCAGCAAACTTCAGAAGAGTTAGACGTAATCAAGAGCAGAATATTTTAACGTTTTAATTTACGTATTAGACTCCTTTCTACTCTCTATTTTAAAGCTTCTTCTTACCTGTCCATGCTAAATTTTCTGATCTGAGGAATTTCAAGATCAGGTATACCATATAATCTCTAATAATTTACTCTCCCTCCCAAATATTGCACTTCATTTTTTTCCCCCCATAAAATTCTGTTTATACTGAGGGACTTCATTTTTTCATTTTCCCCATCCGAGCAGTAAAACATCACTGTTTTTGTTGAGTATTTCTAAAGATTGGATATCAATTTGGAAAAATGTAATAAAAGGTGTTTTTTCACTTATTGATTTTCTTGTTAATATTACATGTTAACATTTTAACAGTTGTAAAACTTACTAGTCTGAACGAGTTTGTAATAAATTCAAGAAGACGGAACTTTATATCTTGTGAAAAATACAACTGGGGCAATGTGTTCAAAATCCTAATGCATTGACTGTAGAGGTAATCCATAAGCATTGCTTATAAATAGCACGTTTTCTATGGGTTTTTTTTCATGCTTAATATTATTGTTGCTGGATTTTTGATAGGCCGCTAGACACATTAAAGGACCACTATAGTGCCAGGAAAACATACTCGTTTTCCTGGCACTATAGTGCCCTGAGGGTGCCCCCACTCTCAGGAACCCCCTCCCGCCAGGCTCTAGGGGGAGGAAGGGGTTAAACTTACCTCTTTCTCCAGGGCCGGGCGGGGAGCTCTCCTCCTCCTCTCCGCCTCCTCTCCTTCTCTTTGGCTGAATGCGCATGCGCGGCAGGAGCTGCGCGCGCATTCAGTCAGTCCATAGGAAAGCATTTATAATGCTTTCCTATGGACGCTGGCGTCTTCTCACTGTGAAAATCGCAGTGAGAAGCGCGGAAGCACCTCTAGCGGCTGTCAATGAGACAGCCACTAGAGGCTGGATTAACCCATTTATAAACATAGCAGTTTCCCTGAAACTGCTATGTTTATAGAAAAAAGGGTTAAACCTAGCTGGACCTGGCACCCAGACCACTTCATTAAGCTGAAGTGGTCTGGGTGCCTAAAGTGGTCCTTTAATTCTTAGAACTATTAAAGAGACAATTAGGTCAAAAAACAATTTATGTATATCGTCATATCAAAATGTTGACAATAAACATTTCTGAGTATCAATCATTAACTACAATATTTTTTTAGCACAAGGATAAACTGAAACAAGTTTATTGTAGTGCAAGAAGTTAAAATGGGCATCTAATAATCAGAGAGGTCGTTAATGATCATATTGCCAGGAGTCCCACAAGAAATATTGTTTAAGATCGGTTAGACCAGGTTCTTCCCGTCTACATATGCAGAAGCAAAAGTCTATATTATGGAATTAATTTTGTGCAGCTTTGGACTTGGATATTATTCATTGGTTGAAAGGGTCAGATAACCAGGGACTCCGGGCACCATAACCACTGCAGTGAGCATATCTACAAATAATGTTCATGGGAGTCATGCAGTTCTTAAAGTAACAGCACATGTATTTTCATATAACTGTTGAAATAAAGAATCATTTTTCATTTTAATGCCCTTTAAGGTTTATGACGCTTTAATTTTACAATGAAGAGCTACTATTACTGTTTCTTATATCATTACTGTCCTATTAGAATGAAGATATTGTTACTCTTGTTACAAAGTATTGGAATATCTGGCAGCTGTTGGGTGAATGCTGACTGGGACATTACAGATGTTTTATTGCATGGTAGTAAGTTGTGTGAAATACGAAATATGAAAATGGCACAATGTCAGTATTGTATTATGTTGAATTGTATTGCACTATGTTGTATTTCTCAAAAAAATAAAAAAATAATAATAAAACTATTTTTAAAAAGTATTTTTCATTGAGAGTAGTCATTCCCACTATAAGGTGGGCAGCTCTGCGTTCTCTTGTTGTATTGTCCCTGTTTCCCTGGTCATCTCCCAGGAAATTCAGAAAACAATTTACTCATCTTTTCTGGGGTTGAACTAATTAGTTTATATCCAGTCACTCCAGTGTGTCTTTGGTAGCTATACTGGTGAAATCTGAATTTATTTCTCATATTTTAAGCCTTGGATGACAGATTTTTGCCATGGGACTGTGTACGTTTCTCACTCTTTATTCTCCACCCTGCCTTGACAAACACTCAATGCATGTCAGAGGCAACATCCCCATAGCATATAAACACTGCTTCCAACATGCTGCACATATAAAATCGTATACACCAGGGTTTATGCAATGTTGAACGTGTTCCCAATACATTTATGGCAAAAATGTATACTTTTGTCTCAATGACAGCAAATGCATTTCCATGTCTCCCAGAACGTAACTCTTCAGGAGTAAATTCTTTACTCTTTAATTAAACAGAGCTAATAAATAAAGAAAAATAGGAATGTCCTGCAGTCATTTTTTCAAAGGTTTCCATTTTTTTTTCCCACTAGAAATCTCCAGAGTAACCAAAGAAAATCCCCATACCAAGAGCAGTGTTGGGGTGCTTCAAGCCACTCCATCCGTTCTCTTGTAGGTACCATTCCAGTAAACACTATTAAAATGCGTAGTGGAACAAGGAGGGCAGCAGAGGTAAGTGTGCAAGGTGCCCCATGTCAAACTTACCTCTGCTGCTTTCCATAGTCCAAATAAACAGCTAAATAGTTTTCAGGAACTCCACATTTTAAACATTCAAGGCTCACATAATTCCTCCTCTCTTAACAGGCAAGAGTAGGTAAGTGGCTCAGATACCCAGTTGGTGCCTTTTGCTATTGCCCCAGCTGATCAAAAAAGAGGTCTGAAGGTGTTCAGGAAGAGGTGGTTGCCAAAAGACCAAGGACCTACCTATCCTACTAAAAGCACTCATCTTTGTAAGAAGACTTAGCCCCACTGAGGCATTTTCAATGTCGGGGTGCAATAAAAGACAAAAATACTTTGTTACAAGTACAAGATAAAAGGTGACAAAAACATATCCCTTAAGTCTTTTTGGCAATTTTGTCATGTGTCCATTTTACCACAATTTATCTCCTACTGTTTAAGTACACTCAAACAAATATATATAGAGAAGAAATAGGGTTTTCTTTTGATATCATACTTGCATACATAACACAAAAATAAATATGAATAAATGATTAATAAAAATGGAAACAAATTAAAAAATAACATACATTTGTTCTACATGTGATGGTCACAAATGATAAATTTAAAGACTAAACCTATTATTTGAAATTGAGTTAGTTTGATTGGTTTAAAAACAAAATTGGATTATCATGTACATCTAAGGAGTTTCAGAAAAAGACACTTTAGACAAGACAGAACAAAATGTTTCTTTGTCTAACACTAGATTAAACTGCGGATAAATCATTTTTGTCCAAGACAGCACAGTGGGATATATTTTCCAAACGTGCACTGATCGTCCACAACATTAAAACCACTGATACACTGGCGTACATAACGCGGTCGCAGGGGTCGCAGCTGTGACCGGGCCCGGCCCACCAGGGGGCCCGGCCGCCCTGCGACCGAGTATGTATGCCAGTTTTCCAGCCTCTTCTCCTGGGAGGCCCAGGAGCTGGCCACCTAACGGCCACCCGAGGCTGGCAGTGCTGTCACCTGGCAGGCGGGCACGCGAGGGAGCATTCTCCCCTAAGCGCTCTCTGCCAGCTCCCTCGCGTGCACTGCACTGATGCCGGAGCCGGAATATGACGTCATTCCGGCTCCTGCATCAGTAAGTGGCACGCGAGGGAGCTGAACAGGAGGATCAATGCTCCTTCACCGCCGGCAGCCCCACTGGACCCCAGGGAATCCCCTCAGCACTCCCAAAGGTAGGGAAGCTGGGGGATTTAATTTTTTTTAAATATGAGTGTGTGTATATGTGTGTTAGTTGTGTGTGTCTGTTATTGAGTGAGTGAGAGTGTATGTCTTGTAAGTGAGTGTGTATGTCTGTCACTGAGTGTGTGTCTGTTAGAAAATGTGTGTGTCTGTTAGCTAGTGTGTATGCATCTGTTCGTGAGAGTGTATGTGTGGTTAAAACCCCTTCAGCACTTACCTTTCTCCAGCGCCGGGCCCCCTTGACACTGGAGATCTCTCCGCCCCAATCCGCCTCTCAGCCACGCGCACATTCAAACCGCCGATAGGAAAGCATTACTCAATGCTTTCCTGTGGACGTCCAGCGTCTTCTCACTGTGATTTTCACAGTGAGAATCGTGGAAGCGCCTCTAGCGGCTGTCAGTGAGACAGCTACTAGAGGCTGGATTAACCATATGTGAAACATAGCAGTTGCATAGCAACTGCTATGTTTTCAGCTGCAGGGTTAAAACTAGAGGGACCTGGCACCCAGACCACTTAATTGAGCTGAAGTGATCTGAGTGATCTATAGTGCTCCTTTAAGTGTATGTATCTGCATGCAGTGGCGTACATACCGTGGTCACAGGGGTCACAGCCCTGCGCCCCCCTGCGACCAGGTGCCCGCCATGTGTTGCGGCCCCGACCCGTACAGAGTAAGCTCGGTCGAGGGAGGGGGGTGGCCACGGATCAATTTTCGCACCGGGGCCCCATGGATCGTGTCTACATCACTGCACTGAAGTGAATAACATTGATTATATCATAACAGTGACACCTGTCAAAGTGTGGGATATATTAGACAGCAAGTGAACAGTCAGTTCTTGAATGCAAGTAATTTTTAGCTCTCCAAACGCATGGTTGGCCAGAAGGTAGATCCTCAACTCCCACAATAACTTGCCAACTGGGGACCATTTGCACATCCTTGCAGGGTTATGTTTGTGAGCATTTGGACAGACAGTGTTTGAATCCAACAGTTAGTCTCTGTGGTTTTCCATGCTTCACTTCCAGCACAGCAATATACACCAACAATAGATATATATTACACACCACCAGCAGGATCGGTTTGTTGTAGTTCAGTGGCTGGTGAGATCACTGATCACAAGGTCATGCACCTGTTCTATATGTAGTCATCTTCTCTGTTAGTCTTAATCTTCCTCTTTCAGTGTTTGGATTAATCGGTGAGTGTGTGATATTGTGGACTTTGGACTGTGTGTCTCACTGTACAGTGCACACACACAGGGTCTGAATGGCCCCATACAAACAGGGCAAAAACATCTGGCTACATACAGGGGCATTAGGACAGCAAGCTTATTTTGAAATTCAAGTTCCAAATGGTCCTGTAAAATAGTCTCCCACATGCCCCCACCAGTGGGCATCTGGTGGATAACTTTACATGAAATAATGGTAGTTAGATAAATCACTGTCCACCCCCTACCCGGTAGGCACCGCAGCTGTAAAGTATTAAAGAAGAGAAAATGCATGGAGGGTACATTTAAATGTCTCCCTTGCCCCCACCCATGGTCTGCAGGTGGGGGATATTATCATATACTGCAAAAAAAAAAAAAAAACTACCTCCCAATCATTGGTGGTGGTTGGGTGTCTATTAATAATATTCAAGGGGGAGACCTTGTTTACCCTCTCCAAGCTCCCATCCACGGATGGCAGGTGAGTGCTCAAAGTAATTATACAAGACAGGAGACATGTCATATCCACCCTCCCAATCAGTGGCATGGTCCACCCTGACTCAGGTGGCAAGGGTTCCTCCAAAGCCACCCCCTAAAATGAATTAATTACCTTTAGCATTCAGGTCACATATACACCACTGACCAGCAACAGAGAAATGCCAGAGGAGTGCAAACAGTGACCTACAATATTACTCAATGAATTTAGATTATTGCCACCAAACATCTATTTCTAGTCCCAGCCCAAAGTCCCAAACACATAAAACAATATGATTTGAAATGGAGTTTCTCGATGTGTGCCTTTTAGACAAACAAGTACAAGCATTGCACGTATTGTCAAAATCCCTCTTGTAGCTTACTCAACATCTAAATAAAGTCGACCAAGAATTAATTTAGGAAGTATACCTGGCTTGGAAACTTGAGATGGGGCAAAGGTCAAGAAGGAATTATTCCATAAGGAAATAATAAAAATTATTTATACAAAAGAAAGAAGGAATTATTCCTAGTTTGCTACATAATGGGAAACAGCTTCAAACTGCGTATTTTGCCTTCTTGTGGATCAACAGCAGAAACAGCTTATGTAACTATGAAAAGGTTATAAGGCCCAAGGTATGCAAATAAACCATGTGCTTGCATGGGAGGCAAATCTAATTTGATCTTTGTTGCTAGTTTCCCTATTTGGTACTCCCCAGAACAGAAGATACAATCACTGTACTAGCTAAGTGAGTAGCTAGGATTTTCTGTTAATTTCTCCTTTTTATTTTTGCTTGTCATCTATTTTTTCTCTATGCACTGTGACTATTTTTGTTCATAATAAATATTCATTAATTTCTTATTTGTCTGGTAAAGAATCATATTACTTATTACTTGAAGAGACTTATTTAATAGTATTTTTACTACATTGGTATTTTGATAAATTATGTTTTATGGGATTCAGTGGGTAATAGAAGGCACCCATTTATAAATTGCCTTGGTGGTGGCAGCTTTTGATGCAAGAGTTAGGTTTTAGTAGTGTTGAGACCATTTACTATTATTTTCAGTCTAGTTCAGACAAATTGTAATTACTTAACCCTTCCATCCCAGAGCAACGTTACGGACAAGCTTGGAGTAGTGTGCAAACAGGGAAGCTATCAGGAGTTCAGGAGAATTAACAACTCATTCACATAGGCGAACATTTAGCTGATCCTTGAGCCTCCTGATCAGTGCTGCTACATCAGTATGTAAAAATCCACCAGGAACAACTTTATAGTTCTCAAGGAAGGCATCCATCTTGCTCAGTAATAGGGTGAGCAAGGAGATGACCTGTCTCAGAATGATAGTTTAATGATTGCCACTAGCTGACCTATC